CGTGGACCTTGAAATAAGGGACTGTCCCGTATAATACGGGACGTATGGCAGGCTTAACTAGGACTTACTCTAAAGTAACTAGTCCGAGCTAGTTTTAGTAGACTTCGAACTCGGGATTTATCTAGAAAAATCCGGTGCCCTACTCGAAAAGTGGCGCGAGGCGTAAACAACTCGCGTCCTAGAGAATCTTGGCCGGGTTTTCGATTCATTCTGGTAACAATTTTTTTATTATTATTATGGGATTTATTCTCTTTTTTAAGTATAATATAGAATTCACGATGAATTAAAATTTAACAATAAATACAGAATTTCTCTCCCACAAGAGAAACCTCGTGCGTGGGGGTCATACTATCGAACGTATAATAACCTGTACATATAAATATGATTAGATCAAGTAACAATAATTATAAAGCCCAACATTTATTTGATGTTTGGGCAAATTTTACGTTTGGGCGTAATTGAGAAAGGAAATAAAAATCACAACGGAAACGTTCTGCAATCTTGAAAAATTCTCTTTCCGCTATAAAAATAGGTCATGTCCGATATCATTAAAAATATCGACTTGAAAATTATTTTCTATTTTGCATTGATGCATTCTAATGCGACCTTATAGATATTACACAGGATATTATCTACATACCTATTCATAAAAATTCAAGATTCAGGTACCCAAGTGAATAAATAGTGGTTATTTTTATTGTTCTGTTTTCAAGAAAAAAAAAGTTATTTCAATCAATTTTAAGATGTAAAAAAAATTCGAAATTTAAATTTACAACAATCATGTTCCAGACCATTATATTAACTGCGGAAAAATTCAACATTTTTGTCGCAGTTCGAAAGATAAATTTTAAGTCTCAGCCAAAGTTTACAGTCTCAGCTTACACGTAAAGTTCAAATAATCCAAGGTTATTGAAACTATGCTTACTGCTTATAGCCAAATTTATTTTAGCGATTATACCGAAAATAATATAGGTACTAGTCAGAGATGTTAATTTATGAGAAACACGAATTGTCAATCATTGGGTACTGGCGCTAATTGTATACTGGTTTCGAGCTTATTATCTCTCGTCAGTGCAATAATATAAGCGAAAGCACGCCAACTCAGAGAAACAGGTATACAGGAAATGCTCACGATAAGATTGGTATGAACCTATGAAAGCGTGTGGGTCCATCTCTTCGAAGACTTACAAAGGAAAAACCAAGAACGGCGTGAAAATTAGAATTTTCGATGGGCGTTATTTTGGAATGATTTGGTTCCAGGCCGAAAATTAAAGACGCCTTTTTCTGACGGAATGTTTTGAAATGCTTTGAAACGTTTTGAAACGCTACATTTTTGTGTTGCAACGGTGACGTCATATACGGAAACGGTTCAACCATTTTCGAATCGCTCTTTCAGCCTGTTTCAAAATAAGCATTAAACAGCTGACCTCAAAATACCACAAAACAATAATTTTAGAGATTTCATGGGCTCAGTTTTAAAACGGGGCATTTTTGATCACCACCGATCCGATATGATGACGTAGCAATCGAACCAGTTTTAAAACACGGTTCAACAGAAAAAGACGTCTCTAATATTTTATAAAATGATTTCAGATGGCTATAAAAAAGTTCTAGATAGTTGTCCTTATCACACTTGCGCAGTTCAGAAAATTGAATGCGTTGATCATCCATTACCTACGGAATAACTGTAACAAGTTGGAAGATATTTCAAAATCAAAAAGAATCCAAAACAATGGTCGCGTTCACCAGCACACAACGTGTTGAGTGATTAGTTAGCAGCTTTGTTGAAAACAGATAAAAAACAGCTCTAGGCCAATCAAAACTGTTCTACCTTGTGTTATCTACTTGTTGGAACAAAGCCGCTCACTAATAACTCAACATGTTGAGTTCTGGTGAACGCGACCAATGATTTGCTGTGAAAAAATCGATTTTTTATTTTGCAAGTATTTTACTTTTCCAGAAAGGAATAACTACTGTTGATCTGTTACTGAACGAAGTAGAAAAACTGCTTCAGCTATTGCGCATATTGTGACTTTAGTTCATATGAAGGCATCCTATCCTATTCTAAAAAATGAAATTTTATTATGGGTTGGTCGTATTTTTGACGCAGCAAAACAACAAACTTTAATTGTATAATTATCTATACTACATACTATTAACATTTTTGCTGATGTGAAGGATTTGGAAAAAAATATATACTTATTCAGGAGGAAAGTTAAAATTATGTTATAAAAACCAATAAACATTAAAAATTCAAATATCAAAAAAACCCTTTGCCGATTTACATTATGCTGTTGGTGAAAAATCATCATTCCCCAGCATTGGCCCACTAATACTTTAGCTTCCTAGGAACATCGATCTCTTGTGAATGGCCTTGACCTTGTGTATAAACCAGTCTTAAGGATTTTTATTGAAACCGTGCCGTTTCTGGTATGTAACATTCATCGCCATGACGTGGTTTTATGTGTGACTACTGCGAGAGAAAATAGTAGATGAATAAATTATGCAAAAAGAAACAAACTAAAGAGGGGGATTGGGGATTGTCAAGCATTTTCAATATTTGAGTGGTCCAGGGTTTCATTTTCCATATTTAGGTGGTAGACAAATTTCCGAGAAATATAATAAATGTTACCTCATTCGAAAGATTCTCCGTCACCTCTCTCAAAAGCGAGCCGCCAAAAAATGTTGGTTACAAAAAATCCGAGTGGTAAGCTGCAGAGAAAATCAGGTATATACGAATAACAAGAAATCAAAGGAAATCCTGGGAAAATTATGGAACATGAAGGGAAATCTGGGAAAATCTTTGGGGAAACCCAGAAGGCATCTTAAAAATTTGGACAAGCGAATTATAAGACAAGCCTAAAAATCTCTAAATAAATATTGCCAGGTCAAAAATGAAAATGAATACCAAATAGTTACTAACATCTTTGATAAAGTATATGGGTTCCATATTTTTTGATAAAGTATGGGTTCCATATTGAGCTATATGGGTTTCTCGCTTCAGGTTGTCCGATATTATCACTCCCATGTCCCATATTACGTGACTTGCCGGTTATTTGTCAATGTTCAGTTTCATTAGCCAGCGCTGTGTCCAGGTTTCTACTGTTCTTATGTCTGTCATGGATTTGTCCAGATTGTCCAGACAGGAAGGTGTACTGCGGTTGCAGTACTAAGATTTACGGCTATATGAGAGCTGACCATTCATTCGAACATTGTGGCTGTTGACCGTCCTAGCAAGAAGCCATGTTGATCATCTGTAATTATTTTGTTGGCTAGGAGAACATTCATAAGAGCTTTGGGTTAAGATATTTTCAAGTAGGTACTTTGAGAGCATGTCAGTAGGCTTATTCGCCTGTAATTTCTTCTGCATAATTATTAGAAAAAAATAATTAGAATCAAAACTAGGGGTATCGAGTTTCACCCATAATAGACTGCAGGTTAGTTTGGGTTATCGGAAATAGGTTTGTACCTACAGTAAATACGGGACGATAGCCCAACGATACCCGCTACACAGAGCGATAGCAGAACCATATCTGCATCGATTATGGAGATGATTTGTAGTACGCTCCAGTTGTCAATTCGAGAAACATTTACCACATCAATTTGTCGTCACGGTTTGTGACATGGGACTATTTATATACATATATGGGTATTATCTATTTTTTTTACTACTGCAAGGATGCCTTGCAACTTGCCAAAAAGGCTTAAAATGATCCAAAACGTCAAGATTTAATGAAATTTTGACATGGTCAAAATCGGGCTATCACCATAGCTTCCTATCAAGGAAGCTAAAAAGAGCTTGTAGATGGGACAATCTGCTGATCGAAGCGATGGTTCTCTAGGTTGGTTTTACCTCATTTTTTAAGAAGTACGATGAGTTGCAGTTTGTCAGAACTGGATTTTTCCTTCTACAAAGCATTTATTCGATAGGATTTCCACATTCTCTGATCTTATCATCTCGCTAGTAGCCCGATCTTCACCTGGGTATTTTTCTCTTCTTCATTTATTTATGTGCGGTCCATAATTTATCGCTATGCGTTTCGAGAATGCTGATCCTTCATTCAAAATGCTTTGTCGAGTGAATTCTTGTGCTTGTGCGTCCTCTATTTCTGGCTGACTTGTTACCGACGTCCGACATGCCATGTTTCTTTCTTAGCTTGCTATTTTGTGTCCAAACGCTTGATTTCAAAACTTTCACGTTTCTTTTTTTTCTTCTGCTCTGAGCCAAATTTTCTTGTTCCTGTTTTTGTGTGTTGTACAAATTTCTTAAGTTGCTACGTGAATACTGTTCAACTGAACAGTATTCACCTATAACTATAAGGTATATATTTTAGAAGCTTATTTATTTCCATTCTTATCAAATTTTCGTCTTTCAACTTTTTGTTTATTCAGTCTTGGAAACGTATGAATATGAAAATATGTATGTATGAATTGTGTCTCCAGATTTAGGCAAATCATATACCTATACTAGAGGCACGTCTTAAATAATATTCACGTCAAAAAAAATCAGAAGTAAAACATCCATACATGTATGATCATTTTACTTAAAAATAGTTTGCAGTCTTCCAAATCACTGACTTATACTGCAGTTGTAATATGTTTAAAAGGCGGCGAAATAATACCCTTCTCTGAAGGTTCTGACTATATGCATCTATTAATCAATCAAAGTAGAATTACCCACTCATTCTGCACTTGACGTGGAACCACTAAGTAAAATTGCGTAACCGAAAAACCTAAGTAAAATGGAAGAAATACTTTCTTGTGGTCACTCTTGTTTAGGATTTTCTTCGTTAGAAAAAAATGCAAAAAGACATAAGTACACAATTATTGTGACTAACCCATAACAAAATCTAAGTGATGGATAATTATCAATATTAGCATATAAAAAATAATGAAGGTTGTACAGAAACATTAATTCCATCGAAGGTAAACAACACGCGAGTTTTGAACCTTGAAAAAATTAACACTAAGGTGAAAATAAATAACAAAGAGTACCTGAACCGCACAGTTGAAACATTTTCTGCAGACATGTACTCGGATGCAGACGAAACCCAATTTAATCAATTGGTAAGAGTGGTCGAGTTCGAAAAAAACGGTCAAAATTGCGGGTTTCAATTGACTAGAGGAAAATGGGATCCATACCCATGGGTTAGTAACGTCGATGAAAATTCTGTGTCAAGTTCAGCTGGCCTCAAAACCGGAGATTGTTTATTAGAAGTAAATGGTGAAGATGTGATTGGGCAAAAAATCGCCGAAATAGCTGAATTAGTGAAATCGAAACCTGACAAGGTTTCACTTTTATTATGGAATGCAGGAGTCGATCCACGATGTTCGCCTGAGGTATGTAAAAAAACATATTTTAAGGTAGTTTTAGGTACCTACATAAACTTTTCACAAAAAAGAAATAGGGAACATTTAGGTATTTTTTATTTTTGGTGAATGGCACCCCCTTAATTCCGGAGTTACAGCTCCGTAAAATTCTCCCCTGAGAAGAGTATTTTTAAATCTCGGAACCCTGTTGTACGAGAATCACCATGTTTGATATACGAGAGTCTTATGTCATGAAGAATTCGATGGTGCTACGCTTTTAGGCGGAGGACCCCCTTAAGACTCTTTTCCGTAGGCACCCCTGTATCTGCACTGCAGCCTCAAAACTTTGGTCTCGTGCTTTGCTTGAAACTTAAAAATTATTCAGTAATTCAGTTACAAGGCTTCATTTTAGAAATTTGTTCGTTAAACACATTGTTTTCGAGAAAAATGGCAAAATGTGATCGAATGCATATCGAGATTCGTATGAAATTTGTCCTTGATAATCGTAAGTGGTGAATTTATTTTTTGACAGTTATCAGTCACTCTCTTCTCTTATTTGCTCGAAAATTGGTTAATTAACTATTCAATATCAAGTTAAAATTTGTTTGTTTATTGCGAACTGCATGCACCTACGATTAACGCTGGAATTCAGTGCCATCGACAATGCTAATGTAAGGGGGTTTCGTTCGCAGATATACAGTGTGTCCCAAAAAGTATGCGTCACTAACAGAAATGATACGAAGTTGGTCATATTAGCACAAAGTTATCATTTTTGGCGTTTTCTATGGATACGTTTTCGTTGTTGTCGATTTTTTATTCCTTTTGATGAGGCTCTTTGTGTTCAAAAATATTTTGTCGTACTTATATTTTCAAAACTATTGGGTTACGAAAAAAATATATGCGACAAATTTACAGCCACTGATTCCAAAATTCCATAAGTATTAAAAAACGAGTTTAAATTAACCAATACACAAACATTACACATTACATATGTCAACTTTCTATAAATAGTTATGTATTGGTTGCGGCATAAATATAAAAGTCTACTTTTATACACGTCTTCAAATTCTCACTAATTAATATTCCGATTAAATAAGTACGCAAGCCGAAATGGAAAGTAAAATTTTTGTTGTATCTGATTGATTTTTCCGCAAATTCTTAGGCTAATTTAATGCGCTTAAATAATTCATCGAATGTTGAAAGAGCTCATCAAATGTATACGCATCTTTAATTTTTTAGGCATTATGTTGTGGTCCCATACCAAATAACCTGACAAGACTCTCGGCATGTATGTCAACGGTCTTAGCTTTTCTGGAATGTCCTGTATGTTTGGATACAATACCTCCACCTTCTTACCAATGTGATAATGGACACCTAATATGTATGAGATGTAGAGCTAAATCTGAACGTTGTCCAGTTTGTAGACTTAGATTGGGTAGAGGAAGATCACTTTTGTCTGATCAGGTAATAATTAAATAACATAGGTGAGCAATAATATATCCCGATTGCTACTTTTCAAATTGTCACCCTGTAGGTATATACCATAATGTGCAAAAAATGGCTAATGGTGATACAAAATTTGATATTGCAGGAATAAAGAACAATAATTTTTCAGGCTAATTAACCTACCTAATTCTATAACACTTTCAACATAAACCTTCCTTATTCAGTCAAACAAACTGAGTAAAATGGAGAAAAAAATTGTAATAAAATATTTATTTATTTATTCACTTCAAAAGGCACTACAGATCTGAAAACGTCCAATAGTAAGTGCAATATGATCAGCGGTGATAATGCGGTACGTAGAAATATGAAACAATAGCACATAAGCGGTGGCCACAAGTTACCATCAGCAGCCCATTAATCGATCAAGGTCATGGATGCTGGACAGTATTTGTTGTATATTGTACAATTTATTAGCATATTCATCATACAATAGGTATTTTGCTCATATGAAGCATGTTGGAATGTCATTGATAAATATTGAAAAAAGCATGGGTCGTATGGGTGAGCCCTGTGTTGTCGATCTGAAAGATACTATAAATTGGAATTATTACAATTTATGCTAGATTTTTAATAAGGTGCTTAAGTATACAGGATGGACTTTTTTATCGATCCACAAGGATAACTTCGAGGGTATGGGAGAAAGAAAAAAATGTTTCGTGTAAAACTTGTAGAGCCATGTTCCATGTTTGAAATATACGAGATTTTGGACAGTTTAATTTGCATTTTAGTATCCATGCGCAGATGCGATTGAAGACCATTTTTTTTTCTGAATTCTTGATTTCTAGTACTTTCTGTGAAGCTAATCCTTTCTGATCGATATTTTTATAAGGTAATGAGCAGCAAGTGATTATGTAGATCAGACTTATTTTCACTTGAAGTTATCATCACTTGGTTATTGTATCGATAGCAATATCATTTAAGTGAAAAACATTAATTATTTGTTGGTTTTTTGAGGTTTCTATCCATGGGTTTTTCGTAGAGAGAATCTCTATGCCAGTAAGAAACTTCATCTCCATGAAATCAGTTGGATGTAAAATCTGTCTCCAGAAGGATTCGTTCAGAGCATGGAATGTTGCTGTTCTATCCCAACATGGTAATTGTTGGCAACATTATCGAGATGTCTTCCTGTTCCAGTTTCTTAAATTATTATGGAATTATTGTTTATTGTTAATTAGATATTCTGTGTATCAGTATTGAATAAAGAGGGAGATCCTCTTATCTATGAGCCGTGCTTTACTTCTGGCGTGTTTAGAATATGGTTGGTCGCTGGGACTCCATATTGTGCCACTTACGACAACGTTCGGGTCCATTCCCAGTTACGTGTAGTCTATAGTTCATTGGCCTAATTGGCCATCAGGGGTGCGATTTTCGAGACCATTCGAGTACATTTCGTACACGAAATTTGACTGCTCCCCATTTAATTTACATTGCTGTCAGTCAAATTTCGTGTACGAAATGTACTCGAATGGTCTCGAAAATCGCACCCCTGGTGACCTGACGTACCTATATCATCATTGAGGTTTTCATCACGTTACCATAGTGCACTCGAAGTAAAAAGAGAGACACCGAAGAGTCAGATCAGAGTGTACTTTATAGAACCGCCCTTCCAAGCCCAGCTAATAAAATTTAACTTAACTAGGGATATAGAGGTTCTATAAGCTGTGGTTCTACTCTACATCTTTTCCAACTGTAATTTAGAAAAACACAAATGTATTTCAGAAAACCTCAATTGTGATTCAGATTTTTTATACATACCTAATTCAGAAAAATTCATCTATACAGGCCCGGGTATTTGGTACATCGATAGGAAGTTTCCAATGAGTGATAGTTGGGGTCATTTGGGAGCTGCTTGACCATATTTACCCTTACGCAAAGTTTCGTCGTTTTGGAGATATCGGCATTTTTAAATATTTTTGAATTTTTCCTAAAACATTTTGTTTTTTTATGGTAGTAAACACTCTGGCCTTTCTCAATTTTTTTTCCGATATTCCTAATATGCACTCTTTCGAAAAATACGGAAAGAAAACCCAAATGATTGATACAAAAAATATGTAGCCCAAGTTATGTGTTAAAATAAATAAATTCAAAATATCTGAAAATGGCGAAATCTCAAAAAACAGCGAAACTTTTTATTAGGGTAGATATGATCAAACAGCTTCCAAATGAACTATCACTCATTGAAATATTCCTATCGATGTACCAAACACACTGTATAATACTTATGAAATTTTCTGAATTACAAATGAGATATTCTGAAATACCTATATTAGGAAAAACCTGAATTACAAATAATATTTTCTGAATTCCATTTGAAAAATCTGAATTTCTTACAAATGAGATTTTCTGAATTACCTACATTATTTGAAAAATCTGAAATTACAAGTGAGATTCTCTGAATTTCATTTGAAAAATCTGAATTATTATTACTGGTACTTTCTGAATTACAATCGAGAAAGTTGTAAATTGATTGCTCACAAAAATAGCTAAAGACAATTTTTTCCCACTTGATTTTTGCCCCTGGAAGTTGAAAATGGGGTCTTAACAAAATCAAAAACTTCACTTAGCAATTTCTAGCCCTCCGAGTTTCATGAGGCAAAAAAAGTTTATCCGAAGTGGCCTTTCAGATTCTGAAAGCTGTAAACTCTTGTAAAAGGCTCATCTCACACTTTAATCACCCAAAACGCAACTTCCATAGAGCCAAAGCAATATAGGTCAAGTCTTAAAAACTCTTCTAAATCATGAAACCAATTTTTCGCAACTTGCTTTTATGCTTTATAACATACATTTTTTTTTTAGGTGTACAATGCTGTAATTGAATCCTTCAACCTAAAAGATGAAACAACCTATATGAGATCCCAAAAAATTCAACAGATTTTCAAACCAAAAATTTGGAACAAAAACATACCAAACATCAAAGTTACCGAATGCCAAACAAATAAATTTTTATCGAAAATTGTTGGGAAATCCTCATCTGTCGATAATCTTTCTTCTAGCACCAAATTTTTATCGCCGAGTAACATTGAGAATTTAAAAGTGAAAAGTGCATCCTCTAGTGAAATATTTCAAGCAGATACTCCTAGTGTTTCAAGAGTTGGTTCCATGAAGAGACTTAGTAGACGATTGAATAACGGTGCTGCTATGGATGATTCTTTAACTAATATTAGTGATTTTAATAGCAGACCTTCATCTTTTCATGAATCTTTCAATGTTTTACATCATCAGAGATCGGATGAAAACACAAGTTCTTTCAATAATAATGAATTATCTTATTATTGTCCTTTTGATTCACAATGCAAGGCTTCAATAAAAGGTACTTTTCTTTTTAAACATAAATTTGACTGAATTTAACAAAATGAGAAATAATTTTTAGGAGCAAATATTATAGAACACTTCCAAACTAGCCACACAGGTCCTTTGGTGCAATATTTTGGATCAGGGTTCCAAATAGCAATGAAAAATCTGGAAAACGAAATGTGTTTCATAATCAACAATGACATCAACATGTTTTTTGTTAAAATTATCAATAAAGCTCAAAAGAAAAACGAAAAAAGCGGGTAAAAATATTACTATTGATTAATCAATGGACTTTTATTTACATGTTTAATTTTAGGGATCAATATGATAGTTTGATATGGTGTTGGTATGTAGGATCAAAACAAGCTTCTAAAAACTTTGAACTACAACTAGAAGTCGGCACAAAAGATTCAGAAAATATCCTATTACGAGTAAGAAGCTCAGCGTTATCCTTAAACTCGTGTTCTTTCTTTGATGTTGAAGATTTTAGCAAAGGAATATTTGTAAGCTCAAAAACTATAAAGGCTTTTGAAAATATGGATCAAATTGTTTTAAATATTAGTATAAGTTCTAATGATATTTAATATAGGTTTTTGAATCATTGATTTTTTTATTTTTCATATTAAACAAAATTTGATACAAACTGCAGATAAAAGAAAACTTTTTCGGAGTTATGTATTGGTATTGAGCCATCTCTCTATTGTTAAAATGTCGTTTTATTGGTGCAAATACCCATCTCCGAAGACATCTTGAGAACTGAAAGACTTGAACATTTGCTCAAACTACTCTTGTCTTACCTTTCAAGTATTTGATTGGATTGATGGCCGTTTCCACCAACTATTTTAGGGGAGCCTTAACAATAAGTATTCCTTAAAATGACATTTTTACATGGAGAAATGTCAGTTTAGGGAATACTTATCATCAAGGCTCCCCTAAAATAGTTGGTGGCAACGGCCATAATTCCATCATCTATCCCTTGAAAAAAGAATGCAGATGCAGCAGAATTGACCAAAACTTTCTCAAAAATAATTTTCGACACTTCTGAAAGAATCAAAAATTTAATTACAGTACTGTTGCAAGAAAATGTCTCGAGCACAGCCAATAAATAGGAATTAATTTGTAATAATAATTATTATGTTCAACTGAAAAAAGAAACCACTCCTTTATTTAAGGTTATTAAAGACGAAAAGTGTCTTAGATTAAAGTGTTTCGAATTAGTCAACGGAAACTGACTGTTAGGAAGTTTTTTCAGGTAATGACCAACGTGAAAATCGGGGACATAAGAGTCCCTGTTTGGGAATCGACCCACTGACTATAGTGGACTCCGCATTCCCGTGCCAGTCCTTGACGCGTTTCGTCATTATTGGGACTCATCAGAAGGACATAGGCTGAAGCTCCCTGTCCAAGCAAAATTGAACTTCGTTGACCAGTCAGAAACAACTACTCCGAGGGCAAATACCCCTACCGGCGTTGAACTACACTGATTGGTCTGAGCTTTCGTTGGCAATGAAAATTGTTAGGAAGTTTTTTCAGGTAGTCACCGACGTGAAAATTGTACTATTACAAATTATTAGGTAAGTTATCAATGGGATCGCTACAACATAAAAACTGGTGTAGATATCAGACAATAATTTAATACATGTGATTGAACAAAAAATGTAAAACGAGCAAATTAGTGCAAATTATGCATAAATTTTGATGCTAATTTCCGACCCTAGTACAGTGTTTAAATAAACCTTTATACCAGGTGTCCCACTAAGGTCGGCCACGTACGATATTATGGAAACCATAGACCTTACGGTTTCGGGATTTTTTTTTTCTTCACTAAATCGGCCAAGAGAAATTGATGGAAATTATTTTGAAGTTTCTAGGATGACCGCTAGGGGGCGCAATTACGATGATATAGCTAAAAATTCAACTTTTCTCAAGAAATCGCTATATTAAGATACTGTTTTGACAACAGAAATCAAAAGTTCATTAATTTTTGCGCCAGTTTAGTTATTAGGCTTTTTTTCGTATCTTCAGTAATAAGGGTGGGGGAAGCTGATGAATTTTTTTTTTTAGAAATTGCTGTTATCTTCCATTCCCCTCATTCAAACTCATTGCATTTGGGTTTATTTGGAAGAGAGTTTCATTGTTATTAAGAATACCACTTCGTTCGAGGTCGATAGTTCCCACCGCGTCTGCTAGAGGGCGCTGTTTATTCAAGATCCAGTTTTTCCTAATTTTCATGAAAAATCCAAATGGCATAATATTATTTTTGTATTGCTGTGCTTTAGGAGCAAAAAAATATCTACATTTTGGCGCAAACCGCAATTCAATATCTGCATTCGTTTTCAAGTTACGTGAGGTCTATGGTCTCCATAATATCGTACCTGGCCTACCTTAGTGGGACACCCTGTATACAGTGGCGACAATAGAGGTCGCGCCCCCATATTCTTGCTTACTTTTTGCTAATTTTAAATATTGTTACGATATTGCCTCAAGAGCCCGGCCGGATCTAAACATTCCGGTATAGGATTCGGCACCTAGGCATATTTCATTGGTCCGTTTGAATTCGGGCCGCCAATGAATGCAAAGTGCCGAAATCCGTACTTGAATGTTGAACCGGTGCTGAACCTCAGGTCGGAATGGTATATATGTACTATAAGGTCAAAATGTTAAACAGTGCCCAGCTGCAGGTTGGAATGTTACTCCGTTAGCGCGGCACAAAATCAACAAACAAACTTTATTTTGTTTTGTCTTTATCAGATACTAATACTAATTACTATAAAACAGGTATAATTTTTTCAAACTGTTAGAAATAGACGTATTAAGCCTTATACCATTAGAATAAGCAAAAAGCAGACCTATCCAATGAGCTATTAATATACACTGTGGACCAAATTTATCTGGAACCCAATTTGGCTCAGAATATATTTTTTTCAATTTTTGGCCGTTGCATAATTAAATTTTTTACTCTAAAACTGCTGGTATAATTATTCTTCGCTGACTTCACATTCCAATTCGTATATGTTATATCACTATACTCTTCTATCCATTGCTTTATATCGTTTTCCTCCAAAATGTTGGCTCGCTAAATTTGTTCACCACATTGGAAGTGTTTTAATGATTTAGGCAAACTCATCTCGCACAAGAACACATGAAGCAACGGCCAAATAGACCGCATCCGCCGCAAAATTGTAGCTTAGAGGAGCACGAAGGGGGTGGACTGATTTAATATAAAAATCACGCCATACGCATTGCAACATTCTGACCTGATGCTCAGCACTGTTTAACATTTTGACCCTAGATTCGGCACTCCACATAGTATATACCATTCTGACCTGAGGCTCAGCACCGTAGTTCAACATTCAAGTACGGATTTCGGCACTCCGCATCTATTGCTGGTCCGAATTCAAACGGACCAATGAAATTTGCCTAGGTGCCGAATCCTATACCAGAATGTTTAGATGCAGCCCAGCCGGATTCTAAGAAATGTAATTGTCTGCCATTGAACTAAACAAACACTCTGGAACGGGCGCACTGCTTTATGCTAGTGTGCCGAATTTTGATATATATATGGCAACCCAGCAAAACAGAGGGATTGTTGTCTTGCTTGCACTCATTGCGATTAACGTAAAAGAAAGAAGAGCGTCTTCATCTTCCTAACCTCCAATGATCTAAACACTTCAAACAGCTGTTTTCAATAGCCGCCATAGTGCAGAGAGAGATGCAAATCTCTCTTGTTTGTTGTCCTTCCTGGCACAAACCCTCACGTAGAAACATTATGCAGCCACCGTTCCAGTGTGTTTGTTTAGTTCATTGTTGTCTGCGAATCGCAATACGCAACAATATGGATAATTCTATTCAAGTAGGGTGCAAAGATTTTCTAGATAAATCTACAGTACCTAATGTCTGCCCAGCGAGTCTGTGTCTACGGGGCAACGGTAAGGGGAATGCAGTTGTAAAAAAATGGCTGATTTCATTCATAAAATACCCAGCTGCGTGCGAAACTTTTTGGAAATATAATATTGTATTGCAACTCATACACAAAAATTGACAATGACCAAATCCCCGCCACTGGATATTTCAATATAAATCGATATTCCAAGATGGGAGGATACAATGACAGGATCCCTGGCCAATAGCGAGACGTAAGGTGTCGTTAGCCCACTGACAACCACATGGTTCCCCGTGGCAACGGCGATTCTGCCAAAAACTCTACCAATCAGGTTCATCCAGGCTGGATGCTTGCCAAATTGACAAAAGCTGATGGTATCTTTGGGAAATGTTAATTTTTTATATTAGACAAAATTGAAGAAATCAGTTATTAAAATAAGAATAGGTCTAACAACCACGTTACAATCTTTAGAGTTTCATTATTCTATCTATATTTTGTTATTAAAAAATGGATTTTCACATAAACTATACTCCATACCTAGTATTTTTGCGTTTTTATAATTAAACGTGGCAATATCGCACATTTACGTCCGAATTCCTTCCGTAGACTCAGAACCGCTGGGCAGACAATACACTGTCTGCTATAAACAGCGCGAAATAGTAGCTTAAGTGGCCGTTTGCAACGCTTAACCTAAAGTGACATTTTTACATGTAAAAATGTCACTTTAAGCCTTGAATATCGTTAAGCCTCCTTTAAAATAGTCGGTGCAAACGGCCATGAGTAAGACAGTTCTTATTCGATATTTGTCGTGTATGTGTAAGGGACGTCTATTTTCGGCAATGATCGTCGCCACTGTATGTAAAGGTTAATTTAGTCACTGTAGACCTTGGTAGTTGACGCTGCCATCTACCGAAAAGGTAAACCTCGAATGAAACTGCAATTTTGAAAATTATTATTTATTTAAAATTATTTGTACTTTTCCTGTCTACATGAGTTTATGTACGTGCTGCTTAATTGTCACCTTTGTACACAACGTAATTTGGGGTAGGCGATATGTAGAAAAATTTTTGTTGGAAAATATACACTCTCAGTGAGTGATGCGAACGAACAAATTAGTAGAAATTATGAATAAATTATGCTCTTAGAGCTAATTTCCGACCGAGCTTGATCGTTAACGCTGCAATCTAGCGAGAAGAGCACGGAAAATTAAGCTGATTGACACAGCCTTTAGAAAAAACGAATAAATCACCCCGTACATAAAAATATTTTCAGTCCTATGTAAATAATGAAGCATTTCTGTGTCAAGTGTTGACGACAATAAAGGTCAAATTATAGACCACTTGAAGATAAATAACTATTAGGGTGTTCCTTAGGGGTGTTCATTTGTACTGCTTTTCTTGCTTTAAGCAGATCTCAGCAGATTGGTGTTCACTTGTCCCATATATTAAAAGCTCATAAATAGCAGCTCCTAAAAGATCTTTCTAATATTCGAGAAGGTACAGCAAGTACAAATGAACAGCCTATACAGGGTGTCCCACTAAGGTCGGCCAGGTACGATATTAGAGAGTTCTCGTGCTGTCCAAATTTCAAATACCGTAACGTTATTTGACAAGAATGGCAGTTCTTACGGTATTAGCGTTAGCGGAGCCCGCTACCTAACGGGAGACACGGGAGTTATTGGATGCCTTACCGTAAAGCTATGCTATGTCAAAATTGATTTACGCTCCATTTACGTCTGCAAGAACAGCAACTTCTAAAGGCCGTTTTACAGCTTGCAAGAAAACTTGAATGCAATTTTTTGCATGCAAAAAAATTGCATTCAAGATTTCTTGCACGTCGTTCTACACCTTGCAATTTGACTTGTTTTCTTTCTAACCTTAACCATACTTTTTTGTTTTTAATGTTGTGTTATTGATGTTTGTATTTTCCAAAAGTGAAAAAAGTGATTATAAGTCGATATAAAAAGAAGAAAGCAATAGCAGCAACTTTAAGCATCAAAATTGCTAAAAATTCCCCAGCTTGCACGAAAATCTTCAAGAAAAATGGCACCAAACCGATTGCATGCAATGCCATTCAAGTTTCAAGAATCTTGCAGAAACCAATCAGCAGACTCACTTCTGTGCATGCCCTCGTTCAAGTTTCTTGCATATTGCAGATAGAAATGCAATATGCAAGAAACTTGAACGAGGGCATGCGCAGAAGTGAGTCAGCTGATTGTTTTTTGCAAGATTCTTGAAACTTGAATGGCATTGCATGCAATCGGTTTGGTGCCATTTTTCTTGAAGATTTTCGTGCAAGCTGGGGAATTTTTAGCAATTTTGATGCTTAAAGTTGCTGCTATTGCTTTCTTCTTTTTATATCGACTTGAAATCACTTTTTTTATTTTTGGAAAATGCAAAAATCAACAACACAACATTAAAAACAAAAAAGTATGGTTAAGGTTGAGGAAAGAAACAAGTCAAATTGCAAGGTGTAAAACGAAGTGCAAGAAATCTTGAATGCAATTTTTTCGCATGCAAAAAATTGCATTCAAGTTTTCTTGCAAGCTGTAAAACGGCCTTAATAATTTTTCCATGAAAAACACCAGGAATCTTCAGGATGAATAAAAGTTGGCAAACAAGCAAAAAAAGTTAGGTTAGATCACCCAATTCAGCTGTCAAAATGTAAACAAAATAAGGGATTAGAGGATTTTTGTGACTTCGTGTCCGAGAACTATAAAATGCCATTTAAAATACCGTATTGTTAGCGGTACCGTATTAGCTTAGCGTCTGAGGCACGATCGAGAACTTTCTATTATGGAGACCATAGACCTTACGTAACTTGAAAACGAATGCAGATATTGAATTGCGGTTTGCGCCAAAATGTAGATATTTTTTTGCTCTTTAAGCACACCAATACAAAAATAATTTTATGCCATTTGGATTTTTCATGAAAATTAGAAAAAACTGGATCTTGAATAAACAGCGCCCTCTAGAAGACGCGGTGGGAACTATCGACCTCGAATGAAGTGGTGTTCTTAAAAACAATGAAATTCTCTTTCAAATAAACCCAAATTGAATTAGTTTGAATGAGGGGTATGGAAGATACAGCAATTACTAAAAAAAAAAATTCACCAGCTTCCCCCACCCTTATTACTGAAGATACGAAAAAAAGCCTAATAACCAAACTGGCGCAAAAATTAATGAACTTTTGATTTCTGTTGTTAAAACAGTATCTTAATATAGCGATTTCTTGAGAAAAGTTGAATTTTTAGCTATATCATCGTAATTGCGCCCCCTAGCGGTCATCCTAGAAACTTGAAAATAATTTCCATCAATTTCTCTTGGCCGATTAAGGGCGGGTATTATAAAACTACTTTGAGAGTTCACTTAAAGTTAACTTCTGGAATTACATGTAATTCAAAAAGTTAACTTCAAGTTAACTGTCAAAGCAGTTTTATAATACCCGCCCTTAGTGATGAAAAAAAAATCCCGAAGCCGTAAGGTCTATGGTTTCTATAATATCGTACCTGGCCGACCTTAGTGGGACACCTGGTATATAAGCCGCTTTCCAGCTGACCATTTTGAGCACGCAATCGAGCTTTTGCGCGCGCAAATGCTTCAAGCGAGTGTTCGTGTTCCAACCATACTTCGCTTCCAGAAATGCTAACTTTTGCGTTTCAAACACAGAACACTGTGCTGCACCATGCTTGAAGCACACAGCTGGAAAGCGGCTTTAGGGCGGGTATTATAAAACTACTTTGAGAGTTAACTTAAAGTTAACTTCTGAAAATACATGTAATTCAAAAATTTAACTTCAAGTTAACTGTCAAAGCAGTTTTATAATACCCGCCCTTAATCTGTTGATGTGTCTGCTCGTTTACGCGAGCCTCTGTGTTCGGAGCAGTAAAATGTGCTCCGAATGACCCTAATTTTTATTTGTCCGTCGTAACTTTATAGTGGCAGCTTTCTATTTTTCCGAAAATGATTTTTTTTTTGGTTAGAGGCAGCAGCGGCAATCGGCGCTATCACATGATGTTTTTATGGTATGCTTTACGGGTGTTCCGGTTTAAATCCGTTTCGGATGCATCACAGTTGAAGTGTTCATTGTTCAATTCAGTTCACTATCCAATGTTGACTCTGTGGTCGGGAGGATTTTCGAACTATTAATTTTTGTTCTAACGTTGATGTTAGACTTAGGGCGGGTATTATAAAACTACTTTGAGAGTTAACTTAAAGTTAACTTCTGGAATTATATGTAATTCAAAAAGTTAACTTCAAGTTAACTGTCAAAGCAGTTTTATATTACCCACCCTAAGGGCGGGTATTATAAAACCCGCCCTTAAGGTGAATGAACTAAGAACTCGGAAGGCAGATTGCACGACCGGGCTTCCGTAATACTAGGCTAATTCATCGGAATTTTCTACTGATCGTACGTAATTGTCGATCGGTCGTCTAAAATGGATGTCCAACCGATTTTTTGGTGTGCTATGCATTGGTGCTATGTCAGGGCGCCCGAAATCTCAAATCGAACACATCAAACAAAAACAGTAGGTTTGTTTGTTTGTGTCGCACTAACTTGAACTGAGCTGTAATATTTCAGATTATGGCAGATATTCAGATATAACCATAATAGTTGTATTCCTTCCACACCTAGGAAGAGCTCCGGAACCGCTCCGGGGCATTACGCGCTTATTCCTTTCGAAAAGTGTTTGTTGCACCTGGTGCTCAAGCCCGACTCAAAGCATTTAAATGCATGAAAGCCAGCGCATCTGTTCCTTTCAAATTGGGGTCGACTAACACCAGAGCGAGTAGCTCTAATGTTTCAAACTCTTGAAAGGAATACAACTATAAACGTTCGTTAGTTCATTGCCATAACACTAACGAACGCCCCAAAGCAGAAAGTGCTGCTCCGAATAACACAAACAAACAAACCTAGTGCGTACCGAGTTTGCGCCGATTGCAAAGGAGCAAAGGTGCAGATAAAACGAAATCGCCATAAACTCATAAAATTGGACATTCGACACTTAATAATTAAAGTACCGTTTTTGAAATATTCTAAAATTCCTTCAATTAATACATAATTTCAATTTGTAAATGCTTCAACTGGCAATGCTGCTTTGTATGGATTCTCCTGCGAATGCTGTGTTGCCATGTCGATGTTTGTATCTTATCATATTTTATATAAAACTAATTGATAATAAATTATAATATTGACTTACACTCACCGATTGCCTAAATTATTTTTGCAAGTCAAGCTAAACTAATGTGAATTAAAATTTCTTAAATATTCCTAAATTAATTTTAGATAGTTACCTGATTTTAATGGTAATGTTTTAAGGAATATTGCGGCGGTGGCAACGTGGGATTCTTACTCGTAGGACAAGGGCACTGATTGGCTAGAAAACGAAACTGATATCCAGGATCCATACTGCGCATGCTAGGTGGGTAGTTTAGGTTGCTTCGGTATTTAGCAAAAGCAAAAAGTTATCCAGAATCCAGAAAAAAAATTGAAAAAGCGAATAATTTATCAGAGTTTACGCCCTCTAGTCTATCATAATATTCTAATGGTATAATGGTAAAGTGCATCATATTATTCTAAAGCTAATAGCTGTTGTTATTTTTTGGATAAACATCCCCTTCACAAGAAATCCCTTTAATATCATACTCTCAAGGTCCTATTAATTAAGGATATTGATACAATGTTTTCTGGATTATCAAACCAAGTGAGCTCCTGGATGGGCAGTGTTAAGGGTGAAACTGAAGAAAAAGTCCCTACTCCCACAGAAGATAGTGATGCACTTCTTGGACAAGAAACCAAGGAAGGAAGGTAAGATATTCCATTTCTGGATATTTGACCTAGTTTTCAAGTGACATAGATACACTAGGGCTTTTGAGGCCCTTATTATGCATTTTTTTTTGTCCTTATTCCAATGTCAAGTAATATCCATCAAAAATCCAGGTGGAATGACTGATAATACTTACTACGCTTAAATTGGAAACAATGAGATTAATTTTATATCGCAATAATTTTGTTTATTTATATGGCTACCTACATATTAATATAATTTACATATTACCCAATTAAAAATCTGTCTTTACTGTACTCACAATAATGTTGTTGCTGTTCTATGATATTGTACCACAACAATGAAATATTATTTTGGTAATATTCTCTGTTACATAGGTATATGGTAGGTTTACTCTCGGGTTTACTTATAGTTATCACAGTCTTTCTTTAGGGTATTGTTGACTGCTTCTGTGCATTTTTTGTATATTTGTCACTATGCTTATTTTCACACATTAAGTATAGGCATTTGGCTGCATTTGTAAAGGTAAGTTCTATCAGACAATCAAAGTAATTTAGCATTCCACCTAATTCAATTCATAATTTCATTATATTTCGTAGCCCTCAAACAGCTAATATTTCTCAGGGTTAGGATGCAACTCCCATTAAATATTATGTTGTAAATGCCTTGCCTATGATCTGCAATATTCTCAAAATAATCACCGTCGATTATTGTTTTGAGACAATAAACAAACTGAAATTATAATAGGTACCTTGATAAGTACCGACCTAATTGTTTCAAAATTCCAACTCAAACTTTTGAGGTTGAATTGCTAGCATAATTATTAGGTACCCACTTAACTTTGTTATAGTTTAGTCAAGAAGATAAAAGTTGTTCATCCTTTTAAGTTAAGTTAAATCGAATTATGTTGTGGATTAAGTACCGTTAATTACTAAATTACTTGGGTCAAGTGTCTGTTACAACCATTCTAACTTGTTTACAACATAGTGAAATACCGAGTTTATTATCTGATGAAAATATATGTGCTCTTGTGGTTTTGAACCTATAGTTTGCCGCTCAATTCGGATCTCCGAAAGGCATAATAATGATAATAATTATAATAATAGATCTTTATTCAGCCAAAACAGCTCATTTACAAAGTTTACAGAAAATGCACAATATATAGTAGCAGTAGCCGCCATAGATAATTATTCGAGATTCCTACAAAAAATTATTTCTTCATTGGCAATGGCAATGGCAACGAAATGGTAGAAGCCTTCTACAACATTATTTTTCAGTCAATTGATATTTTTGTGCCAATCTGAAAAGAAAAAATTTCCAGATTGGATAAATCAAAAATTAAAACAATTAATAATTGCAAAAAAAGCTGTGCATAAAAAATTTAAACAAACACAGTCTTTCAGAGATTACGAGATCTTCTCTGAACTATGAAGGGAGTGCAGGCAGTACTCTAAGACATCTTACTCTGATTATATTGTCAGTCTAGAAAATACCTTGATAAATCAGCATGATAACTGGGAATTTGTTAATGCCAAAAAAAGAAATATGGAATATCCCTCTGAAATGCACTTCCAAAATACTACATCAACTAAATTGGAACAGACTGCTGAGCTATTTAAAAACTATTTTTCCACAGTGTATACAACAAGTGGTCCTATTTCAGGTGAGTTTAACTATGAGTTAACCACTGACTTGGGAAATTTCAATATCTTGGAGGTTGAGGTATTTAAGTACATCTTAAAACTAAAGAATAACCTTGGTACAGCCAGATAAAATACCTGTCATGTTCCTAAAAAATACAGCTTGTATTCTCACACCTGCCTTATGTAAAATTTACAATAAATCACTAACAAGTGGAATTTTTCCAGATTTTTGGAAGTGCAGCCATATAACTCCTATTTTCAAGAGTGGAGACTGGTCTAGTGTGGAGAACTACCGGGCAATATCCAAAATATCAACCATTTCTAAGGTGTTTGAGTGCATTATTGCTGATAAGATCTCACCATTGTTCAAAAATCTAATTTCTTCCCATCAGCATGGATTTATAAAGGCTAGGTCCACAGTCACTAATCTCCTTACTTATGAGAAACACCTGTTGGAAGCCTTGGAGAGTCGTGAACAAATGGATGCTGTCTACACAGACTTCTCCAAGGCTTTTGACAGGGTGGATCATGGAATCCTGCTTTCTAAGTTTCGGGCTGTTGGTGTCCATTCCATTTTCCTTAAGTGGACGGAAAGTTATCTTTTCAGAAGAAGACAAGCTGTAAAAATTGGTGATCATGTTTCGTCCGAGATTGAGATCAACTCAGGTGTCCCACAGGGTGGATATTTGTCTACATTATTCTTCAATATCTTTATTAATGATATTTCCAACTCGCTTGAAAATTTCCTTTCTCTTACCTATGCTGATGACAGCAAATTTTACAGAAAAATAAAATGTCAACAGGACTGTCTGGATTTTCAAAGAGACCTTGACAAGCTAGCTCAGTGGTGTCATGAAAATAAATTGGCTTTGAATACAGATAAATGCAAAATTGTAACTTTTTCTAGAATTAAAAAACCTATCCATTTCAACTACAAAATAAATAATTGTCAGTTAACAAGAGAAACCCATATTAAGGACTTTGGAGTATGGTTTGATACCGAGCTGAATTTTAATCACCATGTACTTAAATGCTACGGCGAACAGAGCACTCAAACTCCTTGGTTTCATTTTCCGAACGTTGAAAGATTTTAACAACATAAATATAATTAAAAATGTGTACTGTTCAGTAGTACGATCTGTATTGGAGTATGCCTGCATTGTTTGGGGTCCCCACTACCAAGCTTATGAAACTGAGCTCGAAAAAGTTCAGAGAAAGTTTCTCAGACTGATTGCGTATTTACTTAGAATACCAAAATATGAAATAAATCACGAGTTGCAAAATCTTCTAAACATCACATCTCTACAAAAACGGAGAGAAAATTTTGACTTATGTTTTCTATTTAAGCTCTTAAATGGTGAAATAGATTGTGCAGAACTATTGTCTTCTTTCTGTTTTAATACAACTAGAAGATTGAGGAATAACAACCTTTTCTCTATTAATTTTCATATCACTAATTATGGGTACTCTTCGCCTTTAAGTAGAATGGCCAGAAATGCCAACAAACTACCTGATAATATAGATTTATTCTCTATGAGTTATAATACACTAAAACGTAAGCTGACTGAATTATAATGATATATGTTGTCTCTGTGACTTTTATCTTGTGATTTTAACTGTGTAGCCTGCTAATGTTTGCATAATGTGATATTTTTATCTTTTATAAATGTTTTTAAACTAATTTTTTTTCACCATTGTTACTTTAACCTAGGCTAGGTATCTGCATAATGTGATATTTTCATTTTTTTATACATGTATTTGTTGAAATGTTTTAACCATTGTAACTTTAACCTAAGCTAGGTATCTTTTGTGAATGACCATTGTTCGTTAATGAAAATCTATCTATCTATCTATCTAACTCATTGACACATTGAAAAATGGGACGTTGATTTTTTAGATTCATTTTTCTCAAATTAAACAATTTTAGAACAAATGAAGTAACACATTATTCAAAGATAAACAACATAAAAATTTATAGGTAGGTACTTATAACTAGTAGGCACTGGAACTAGGAAAAAATATATATTACAAAATGTTTGATTAAGACCATTTACAATTTATTTATTTTCTAAGCTTATTCTTGAAAAAATTAATAAAAGACCACTTATTTTATATTCAAAATTGAACTTAAAAATCAAAACATGGTACTACAAGAATACTGGTTGAATAGAAACAATAAAGGGTAGTAAGCTACACTTATTTTTGAAAAGAGTAGATATTTGAATCAATTCCAATAAGGAACCTTTGGAAGCCATAAATATGGGTTCCAAGGAAACCTATTCCTAGCTACAGTTACGTTATGTTTAATCCAAATCTCGTAGTCTTCCTTTGACATGCTGGGACGGTTTTTTTGCCGTGGGGTGTAGACCTTCTTATTGCCCTGACAGAACAATTTTATGAGCCCAATCATTGCCACAAGTAACACCAAAATCACAAAGACTGAAAATACTACCTGGCAGTAATACAAGGCATTGACCCAGATTTGTGCTTTGTCATTTTGTTTTATATTTTCTTCAGAGTCTGTATTGTTTGTATGAATGACAATTTCTCCTAAGTTACTTGATATATCAACTGGTTCTTCCATGTCTTGGCAATTTGGAAGTTCCCTTTTTTGTTTAGGAGAGACACTTATGTTTGAATCGATCTTTTCACGCTTTTCTTCAGCATAAGATTTTTCTCCTTCATTTGGAGATTCTGGAAAAGCATTTTTTTTGTTATATGCATTAGGTTCATTACATTGTATTGTATTAGAAATAGGTTCATGAAGATTAAAATCATCCCCAACATTTTCATCAAACATATTTTCAAACTCACTTTCACAACCTTCCAGAGGACGGTGTCGAATCTGCTCTGCAATATTACTAGGCAAATACACCATTTTGTGCTCGATTTTATGGAAACTATGTTCCGGCATATCTGATGGTCCTGAGATAATATTTTTATCAGCATCAGGACCATTATCAGGAATGTTCTCACTTTCAGCACCTTCCATGGCACGTTGTCGAATCTGCTCTGCGATATTACTAGACAAATACAGCCTTCCCAGATCAAATTGCTGAGTATCGTTTAGATTTTTCATTTTTATTTCGTGTGATGAGAGCATTTTATGGCCAGGCTGAATAAAACTATCTTCCGGTATATCTGATGATACTGGGAATGCATTTTTAATGTTGTCAGCATTAGGTTCATTATTAGAAACATTCCCACAAAACCGAAAATCATCCTTAAAATTCTCATCAAACAGATTCTCAAACTCACATTGTCGAATCTGCTCTGGAATATTACTTGGCATTTTATGGCCAGGAATATCTTTATCACCTGGGTTATCATCTTTCAAGTCTCCATTGTCCACTATATATTTTCCACTAATTTCATCTAATTTTTGGTCAGACATTTCACACACTACTTTTACGCCCACGGATCGCTGTCAATGCTAGACTGAACGATAATTTATTTATTTATTTATCATTTATTATCAGGTATAATAGGTATGTAACTAAAATATTTACTAGCTCTTTCTTGACTATAAGAAGCGAATAAACGTCACTGTTTTTAGTTAGCAGCTCAATCAGCAGTTACTAACATAAAATTATTTTTGTTATGATTACACAACCGAATAACTACTGATAAGGCGGCGTTTAATTGAAAAATTCTCGAAACCGAAACTTAATGGCTTCTTTGTTCTTTCAATTGTATTTCATTTTGTGGACACTTTGATATAGTTTACTTTTACGAAATAAGCCGCGTTTTGGTTGTGTTTTATGTCCAGCCCTAAACATTCATACCCATTTTTAATGAATAACCTGGGTTTTTTTTAGTGATGGCGCTACTATGGTGTAGGGTCTCTTTAGAGCCGATTTGCAATAATGACATTCACAGGTTCTATTTTATGCTTGATTTTTTTCTTTGTAGCTATGCTATCCCGTTCATTTCTAGGCTTCACTATACAATTTTGGGACTCTCGTTTTCAATGCCCGAGAAAAAGTATTTCTACTGGGCATGAAACCAGTTCTAGTGCTTCTAGTAGCTGTATCTTGAAATTTAAAAGAAAGTGGATAAGTACACCTTGATAACCTTTTTGTTTTTAAAGAAAAGCAAATAGAATTAACGATTAAATCGGAACTGACAAAAAACAATTGACTACATCAAAAAATGCATATTTATGTACTTATAAAACCGATGTACCCAATTGAATTTGTTTTTCTTTAATAACAAAAAAGTTATAAAGTGAAGATACCCACTTTCAGTTGTCACCCTGTATAAAAATGTTGTTAATTCAGTTAATGTATTGTGAATGCACGTTTGGGTCACCAAAGCAATCGAATGCCGGTTTGATGCTGAGAACTTTCGTTCTTCCAGTAGCACCCCTGAGTTCCATCTGTCATAAGTGATTTTCCATTAGCTAATACTTATGTATTGGAATACTAAAGGGTGCTCTTTTCAAAACTACGAAACAAACACATAGAGATCGAACGTTTTGGCTACAAGGGCAATCAAATACTGCTTTGATGGTGAGAATTGTTTTTTGAGTAGCACCAGTGAGTCCTAGCTTTGAAAATTAATAATTTTTAATAAAAGAATATCACTTTGATGCCTAGAAGAAAAGTAATTTGCCTTTTTGGTTGTTTTTGTTCAAGACCAAGAAATATCATCAGAACTCCTAAATTAGTTGAGAGTGCGGCATGAAATTAGCACTCCTATTTTTGTTGAAAATAATCAACTTCTAACTGCAGAACTATCACTGCAACCCTCTGGTACTATTATAGTACGTCGACCGAGAAATGTCATCAAAATTCCTCTAAAATCAATTAATCAAGGATGTGGCATGAAGTAAGTTCCTCTATTTTTGTTTTTTTACTTCTACTGCAGACCTATAACTACATCTTTCGAAGAACTACAGAATTCTTTCCAAAAAGACAAGAGCTCATGAAAAAGTTGAGGGTGCTACAAGTTAGGCTGCTAACTATTCACGGGAACTTAAATAACATTATTCAATATTTCAGCAGCCCTACTAAAATCACAGGAGGAAGCCGTCTAGAAATGTTTTCCAACGTGAAGAACAAGGTTGAGGGTATAGGCGGATGGTTGGGTTCAAGCATACCAAAGTTACGTAAAGGTGAACAGGACGCTGGCAATCCCGACGCAGTTGGAAATGATAATCTCGCCACTGAGAGTGGATCTCCTGTGGCAGGTGATCTAGTTAAAGAGGCTAGAGAAGATGATGATAATTCCAGGTAACTTTCAATTTGAATCTTTTTCAAATTTACCTATTCCCATGGTCAATATGTTTGAGGTATAATAAATCATAGGTTTTTTTTGTGTGAAATTAATCAAAGTTTCATAATTAAATTAATGTATTATCTAACACGTTGAGCGCCGGTGGCCATTTCTATTGGGAGACGACTTGTTCACTGGTTGGCATTTTAGTTTTTACATGTAGGAACCGATCATTTGGCTATGGCGACAATGCTTCTCACACATTTTGAGACCAATCACCAGTGACCAGTGGGAACGCTTTATATAGGTTTTGATTAGTTTTGAATGGGTGAGCCTAATGTCTGGTCCCAAAATGTAAACATGCACCGCTTGAGCCGAGCAGATTAAGTAATTTTCTTGTCCGGTGACCACTGGTGGTTTCAATCATTAAAAAAAACATAATGAATGTTTGTCAAACCCATACAATCACAAATAAAACAGTCACAGAACAGCGAATTTACACAGGTGGTCCCACAATGAAAGAATATATTGTGACCATCAATGGTCACTTCGTTCTTACTTGTGAAGACAAAATGCTCACTGGTGGTCCCGCGGCGCTCATATGTGCTAATGACCTTTGTTTTATAGTGATGTGAATGTAGGATTTGGCGTATAGTTGAGTCATTCAGGAACCTACATCGCTGGTTTTGTGAAAATTACCGTTGTTAACTCAGCACACTTGAAGCGATAAGTGCTGCAGTTTTCTGAATGAGCCATAGTAGAGAGTAGAGGCCCAAATTTTCTGGGTCAATGTAATTTTCTATTGAAGTCGAATAAAAAATTATGATAGGAATCAATAATAACAACAATAAGATTGTTGGGGATAGAAAAATTCCTTCTGCGTTTCAATAAACCTTACCTAAACAATATCTAACTGAAAAAAATAAAATGTTGTTTGACTCAAACACATAAACATATGGGTTTAGGTACGTTGGTTTTTGAGAAGTGTACAAAAAAACCTAATGTAGGAATTTTAGTGCTACCGGGGGAGCAGACTCGGGACCGCAGTCACTTGCTGAATCGCTCACCGAGGAAAATAAAGAAGGTCAATTTGGAAATGGTATGTTAAAAAATGTCCCTATTGAAATGTTGTGCGTATTTGGTTTGTTTTCTGACAGACAAAAGCAAACTATGTCTTCTTTTTTTTTTGTATTCCCTGAAACACTCTCTTGCCCGCATTCATAAATATGTTTATACAATTCCTAATAGCGTTTTCTATTGGTAGAATTTGCTCTAATAATTTTTTTTTATTCGTATTTTTTTTATACCTCTATGGCGATGATATAATGATATTGCACTAGTTCTTCCAATAGAAAAAGCTTTTTGACTGGTTTACTTCAATTATCTATCTTATCTGACCTACACATATTTTTTTCAGCTTATGATGTTTTTTTTTCTTTCTAGTGCATGTCACTTGACATAATTTATAGCAGATTGGCAGTAAAAAAATGCCAGATTGCTACAACAAAACCTTAAAATTTCTTCTAAAATACAACTTCATATTCTCTTTCAAAAAAATGTAGATAGATGTGTATTATTGTTGTAAATCGTACTTTTTGAAAAAATTGTTTTTTAAATGTTCAACTACTAGTCCTATAGTTGTTTTTGATAAAGTTTCGTTTCATTACAGTACAAAGTAAGGCTTTAGCTGGCGCAAAATCCATTGGCAGTTTTTTATATTCTGCTGTAAACAAAGCTGGCAAATCCGTCACTGAGGCGGGATCAAAAATTCATGTCATTAATGTAAGTATCATCACGTTGAAACAGGGACAAATAAAAAAAATAGAAAAAAGTATGGAGTAAACTTTTGATAAATTTTGAATTACCTAAAACTGTCTAAAATAGTAAACACATTAATTTTTGATATGGGAGGGGCGGCATGCAAGAGTCTACCCTCCTAGAGTCTACCTGTAATTAGTTTTCAACATTTATATTTGATTGATTATGATTTTATTTTACGTTGCATTAGTAGGTACCTATATTGATAAAAAAATTGAATGACTAGGCAACCACTAAGTATTCCATTGAATATTTATTTCTACATCATATCTCAAATCTTCAACTGCCTGTTAACTCTCATATAATTTAAAATGTGAAAATTCTGATAACTGAAATATGAATTGCTGGAACCTCTTGGTGGCCATCAGGCGCATTATATTTTTAAAATACTTGACAATTACATGATTTAATCTAAACTTGTTTGCTTGGCAGAATATCCTAGGTGAATTCAACAAGGAACAGGAAGCATTTATGAAAGGTAAGGTAAACTCATCTTCAACGGCATTACCACCTTGGGCAGGATGTGCAAATGAAGAAAGCTTGAAAGAAGAATGTCTCAGCCTATCTACTGACAGAAGGTAAACATAATATATAAGCATTCGAGAAATAATATTGCTCCTAATTATGGTCTTATATTGAATATTAATCATATCCACATATTTGAAATTCTAAAACTTCATTTATGATAGGAACTTTGTTCGTGCTCCTCCAGCTGGTGTTGACTTCCAATTCGACTACGAAGTTTCTTACCCAGTTGCCATGGCCATAATGGAACAAGATCCGAATTTGGAAAAAATGCGCTACGAACTTGTGCCTAAAATGTAAGCAAAGAAATAGAAATAAGCAATGCATTTCAGATATAATGTGCTATAAAAGGCGTTCTATTGATGGTAAGTCTAATACGCTGATTTTGCTGAAACGTCTCCAGGAATGCCTCAAAGATGCATTTCTTATAAAGTTTCAACATCTCTTCTACAACTCAACATGACCCAGTTAAAAACTCCTCCTTCAAACACAATCAATCTGGTGGTCATATATAGCAGATGGATAGCAGAGATATTAATGCGCAAGGACAGCAAATTATCAGTGTTCTCTGTTTTTATTTTGGGTGCTTGACGAAACACTGCCCATATTTAATAATAATGAAATAATGACAGTTTAGAACTTTTAGTGATTTTTATTTAATTTTTTTTTTGACCATCATTGCATAATTTCTATAATAATTACATCAAATTTTGGGTAAGGTTTTAACTTTTGAGCAGTTCAAAATGTTTTGATGGTTGTCAAAATAATTGCTTACTTTGCTTAATATAATGCCATGTAAACATACCCATTCCCATAATTCTGTATTATAAAGAAGTTCATTATGAAACAGAATAATTTTTAAATTGTATTATGAAATAGTAGAGTAGAAAAACAATTTTGTCTTTATTCAAATTTTTATTTTGCAAATATTTGGGATAGTGGCACCCAAAGGTCGCTTGGGTGTGTAACAGCATTTATAAGAGGACTGTAGAACATTTTGGTATAGTCTGCGAATAAACGCATGTTCGATTGAATGTTGATTGATGAAATTTCTACTTTCATAGAGAAATAACAAAATTCAGAATTTACATAATACAGTGATGAATCTCTAGTAAGTTTAATTATTTCTATAATTACAGAATAACTGAAGAAGAATTCTGGAAAAACTACTTCTACCGGGTAAGCCTAATCTGCCAGGCCAATGAACTGTCCTTTATGTCCAGAGAAGGTGATAACCAGGCCATTGATACTTCTTCAGTGCAACCTATAGGTGAGTAAAATATTAGCTGTTTACATTTTTTTGGCACTGCTTGAATTTTGAATATTAATTTTTTTTTAATAAGTACTCAGTAGAAGTTACTTTCTTTGCATACTCCATTCTTTCATTATAGCTAATTCTATTTTTATTATTTTACTTTTTGTGAAGTAGATTTATCAGAAAAAGAGCATGAATTTGTTTCTGATACCCTAATTACAAATAAGGAAGATATACAAGAGGTACAAGAAGGTGTGAAAAAACTTGCATTGGGATCAAAACCATTAAACGGTAAGTTCCGCATGATTTTCTTGATGGTGTTTTGTCTTTTTCATGAGTATCTTAACTCCAAATATTTACGTTTCAAAAACGTCTCTTCAATGCGAAAACAAATGAAAGTCATTAGGGGTAGTAGCTACTTGAACCCTATGATGAAAGATTTAAACATAGTCACCAATTAGTGATAGACCGAATAATACCCCATTATTGAAACGAGGCCTTTTCAAAGTAAATATTTGAGTTTATTAAATCAATTGTTCCACTATCGATTAATTCTTTGCAGTATTCACCTCATGCTTCTTTTTATTATTTTAGTTAATTTATTAGTAATCTCTAACAGTGCAAATTTCAATGAGTTTCCTATTTTATTTTTCTCAGCCTAAAAGAAGATCAACGTTACATTTGCTTCCCCTACTAGTCCTTTAAACAAAACTTTTTATTTTTAATTTTTTTTTTCTTTCCTATTTCTTAGTTTACAACCACTCCCATATTTTTCTCAGTTTTTATCTTTTTACAAGTATTTCGTGCTTTCCTGATGTTTCAGTGTTACAAATAATTATTCTTTAGATGTTAATATAATTGTAAGACTAATAGATTTTAAGAATTCTTCAAACAATACATTGAATTTCAAATTAGGTTTTATTGGAAAAAGGTAGATAAATCTATTGCTTGCAATGTAAGTTCCCATTAAAAGATACTTCCGCAAATAATTTAGAAGTTAGTTTAAATAATTTAAAAGAAAATAAAACTTGTGCAAATTTTTCTAGTTTAGAGAGGTAAATCAAGGCATTGGCCTATGTTTATGTGATGTTATTATTTGCAAGTATACCTACTTGATTCAGAGTGTTTTAAGTTTTGATATACAGGGTGACTCAGAGTAAATTTCCCTTTTTAATAGCGCCCTGTACATCCAACTTAATACTTGTGCGGGGGATAGCGCTGGTAATTTCAGTAAAAATGGAATTGTGGTCGAACGAGCAACGCGCCTTTATGGTCGAGGCGTTTTTCAAATCGAACGATTCCTATGAGGAACTGTAATCTCGAAAAATGGGGGCATCGTTTTTCCACCAAGATCACCAGATCTTACGCCCCTGGACTTTTTTTTGTGGGGATATTTGGAGAGTATCGTCTACCTACGCCGATCCCCCAGCCACTATGGAACAGTTAAAACGCAACATTCGAGAGGCCATTTCCAACATTCCTATTGAAATGTGTCAGCGAGTCTTCCAACATTTAAAAGCATCATTGGAAGAGTGCTATGCGAGGGATGGTTGAAATTTGGATAACGTTGTGTTTAAATAATAAAATCCGCATTTCTGTACTTCCGAAATTTATTATTTAAATTGCCCCAACACGTTTTATTTTGTTTTTATAACATGTTAAAAAGGAAAATTTACTCTGAATCACCCTGTATTTTAATATGCTTTTGGCATTAGCTTCACAATCAGCTAATAAATTTTGTAGAGAATATAGGTCAAAAATTAGGAAAAAAAATGCTGTTAAGTTTGAAATTCCTATCATTCTCTTTTGTAGGACGCTTTAACTAAGGCCATATTATGATTTTTGCTCCTGTTAGGTTACAGTAAGCTTAAAGGGTGCCAGATAACATATTGACAATGATACATTCTAAGGTTTGTATTATAACCCAATTAAATTATCATCCTAAGTTTGTCCTGTAATTGCCAAATATCAGAGTTTGTGCTCAGGCATATATTATCTATCACAGGCTGTCTAGTGCGCATGGACAGAATTCCAATTCTGGTTTACAAGTTTACTGCTGTTGTTGGAATTATCTTCAAAGATGATTGGTTAGGAAAGCTTTTCAGCAAAGTTTGCTTCTTTTCAGCTACATTAAAATTGTTACCTTCCTTGAATCAGAGGAATTGATGAGATAGAATATACCAAGATGAGTGCCATTGTGTCCACTGACTGTGTTTGTGAAATCTTCTCAATCAGCGTCCCAAAGTAGTAAGCTTCAAGTGGATCAATCTTACCTTACCTGGCATATGCGGCACATTGATAGACTAGACTAGTCCTTGGCAAAGAAGTGCCTCCAGATCACTATGGATATGAATAAGTTACTTCTCTTTTGACTTATATGTGCGAAAATTTGTTTTGTGATTTACATAAACGGTTGTTCAGTGGAGCAAGTGAGCGTGCGCAGACCACAAATATTTGCCTTCAGTTCCTTATCAACGCCATTCCCTGTTCGGTAATATTTACTGAGTGCTCTCTGTGGGCTTTTGCTTATTTTGCATGTTTAACCATTTATTTGGAAGAACGATTTGTCACTTCAGGTAAGTCAATATAGCATCAAATTTATGAGTGTGATTTAAAAGAGACCACTAAATTTCCCAGTACTGCTCTGTCCATGTTTTCAAAGTGGAAATATGAAATAAATCTACTGGGCGTAATACCATTTACTCCCCTGGCTGTGCACCATTAACCTTTTGATGTGTGTTTTCGCAACACCAAGGGCAATCTTTGGCGAGCCATAGTTTAGATCAGTGCTGATAGTGCTCCAGATAAATACTGTATTATTAGATGGAGTTGATCAAAAAAAGTTGGCAGCTCTAGGATTGCTCCTCTCTGTGAATCAAAGTAATTTTCCAGAGTAAAGCTATGTAGAGCTTTTTTATGAAGCTTGCATGTTGCTGTTAAAGACATTTTACTCCGTTATGTAGTGAAACTCGCTTAGCAACATGAGATTCAGTACCAACCTAGGTGGACCAGTTATCTTGGGATCCTATGACTTGGAATATTCAATGTTCTCCCAGTAAAGGAGAGAAGGCATGACGTTCAAAGCACATCGGCCACCGTGCATCGTTCACATCGCATTCTCTCGGGATTCTGTAGAAATGTTAGAACAAGACTGTAACGCGAACGTCTAATGGAAATGCATACATTTCATAACATTGAAATAATATTTTTTGAGCGCGAGAGAACTGGGATAATTCGAAAAGCCTTGAACGACTAATGCGTCCCCTCCTTGAGAAAGCCTTTTGTGAGTTGTTATGCCTCCCCCCTTATTCATAGTGCTGCAATTTGTACAAAAGGTGATAAATTGGTATTTAACCTTAACCAAGTCATGGCCTAATACATCCTAGAGGGTTGGATTTGGCTTCTGTCTACTAGTTTAGCCCCATAATGAGTATGGTGAAAGATGAAGGACCGTGTTTCTTTGCTGGAACAGTGTGGGTTTCTGGGAAGAAGTGACAGGCGCTCAATAACATAAGTTTTATCGAATGTGCTGATAAGCAAGGCTTACCCATATTGACACAATCTAAGGTTACTGTTACCTCACAGGAACTTATCATTATACAGAATATTTATGGCATGGCCGTAATTTAGAAAATTGAGTCGCTTCGATTTAATGCGTTATTCTAACATTAATTGCATGGAATTCTCCCATTGATTTTGTTGCCACAATTTGTTTATTTTTTTCATTGTCTGATCATTATTTCTCTGTTGAAATAGAAATTTGATATTCAATGTTTTAAAATATACTTTATTAGGAAAAATAAATTATTATGATATTTGTTTGAAATATGAAAAATCAAATCTCTGATTTAACATAGAAATGGCAATATTGAATTGTTAATGAACAAACCTTATCCTCATTATTAAAAAAAAAAAACGAAGCGTAATTTAAAATTTAGCTCGTATCAAACTTCCTTAGGTATAATGTATATAAAAAAAGGCCTTTCCAGCAGATTGTAAATAAAATCCATTTGTGAAATAATGACGAGAATGAGCAATAGTATCATATTGCAAGTGGTATGAGGTCGAGTATGAGGTATAACTGATATTTGCTTTAAACTGTTTTAGACCGTCAGCTAATGACAGATTTTGCTGACCGATTTTCTCGCTTCGAGGATTTCAACCACTGAAAATTATGTGAGTGCTGAGCTCAAAAAATTGAAATTTAGCGACCGGACGTCTGCTAGGCATATGTAGGGCTTCGCAAGACCACAAGACTAGTCTTGGTCTTGTCTTGGTCTTGGTAGCAAGACCAAGACCAAGACCTGATAAATCTTCTCAAAACCAAGACCAAGACTCTCTCTTAAGACTCTCGTCTTGGTCTTGGTCTTGAAAAGAAAAATCGACTCAATATTTATAAAAATATGCAAATTCCTATATCTTCTCTTAATGTCTTTTAATTAAATCAATTTATCAAATTTATTATGTTTTGAAATTCACGAGAAGGTATTATAGGTTTTAAAAATACATACATACAACATAGTGTAGGTAACATATTCATTTACACAGAACACATCGATATTTTCCTATCACTACATAATACAATACCTAAGTATTGGAATTTCCAAAGATAATTTTTAACTAACTAACTAACCCAAACTAACACAAACCCCACATCTCACCCAAACTAACCCAAACCCCACATCTCACCCAAACTAACCCAAATCTAATTATTGTGAATAGGCCAATAAAATTCAAATGAGGTATGTGACTATGTTAGGGTTCTCGAAAACCTTTCTCTGGCCTGAATGCTCAGGTAGGTAAGGTAGGTTTAATCTATGGTTCAAAAAGAAAATTATTTTTTTCCTCGGTACAGAATGGCAATTTTATGATGTTTGTCAACTTTCCTATTCTGTTAATAAAAATTATAAGCCGGTCAGCTGTTGAAGTATATTTTACGGCCGCTACAGAAGGAAAGTAAATTTTCCATATGCCTAGCAGACGTCCGGTCGCTAAATTTCAATTTTTTGAGCTCAGCACTGACATAATTTTCAGTGGATGAAATCCCCGAAGAGAGAAAATCGGTCAGCAAAATCTGTCTTTAGCTGACAGTCTATTTTGTCAACCATTGAATAGATAACTAAACAATTTGTATTGATTACACCCACGTAGAATACAGCCCAAACTTTTTTTTCTGTTCTGTAGGAGGTAAATGCGGCCCAATCAGCTAATAATTCTCATTTGCTCGAATCAATCAAATTTTCTTGTATCTGGGCCGATTTCTTAATGCATTGTTAAAATTTAATCAGCTTTACCTACGAGCTAATACTGGGCGGATAGTTTAAAATGGCATATCATGAGAGAAATCAATTCTGAAACAAAAAACATTTGGTTGACATATGATTCACGCACTCCATTACGTACTAGGCTATTGCGTGCGACCACTGCTGCCCACCTTCTATGTGAGTTGTCAAGAGTTGTTACATATTTCAATCATAAACGTACTGCAGATGAAAACAAAATGCATGGGCAAAGACCAATAATTAGAGGTCGCCAATATCGATATTGCGAGTTGGGGTCGAAGTAGAGAAGGGCAAATTATCTGCTGCCCTAATTTTCGATTACCAACAAAACTGGCAAAATCTTCGTTGAAAATATAACAGTGGTTGTGGGGAGTAGGGCTCGGAATTGTATTCGAATAATTCGACTATTCTAAATTCGACTTTTTTATTCGTTAGCAAATTCGACTATTCGACTATTCGACTATTCGAATATTCGACTATTCGAATATTGGAATATTCGAATATTCGACTATTCGAATATTCGATTATTCGAATATACGACTATTCGAATATTGGACTATTTAACAATGCAATTACTCACTTTTTGATTTGAACAATTTAAAATTTCAATTGTTTCAATATTTGAATTTGAATGATACAATATACGACGTGTTTTCGGTGAAAATCAGCTTTCAATTAATACAATGCAGTTTTGTTCGTAATGTAAATTTAACCCTCTGTTTTGCCATTTAGAAAACATCTAAATTATTTTAGTTTTTCTGACTAATACTCTGCATAAAAAATCAAAAATTCGCTTCGTCGTAGAACGTTCTTTTGCGGGAAGTAGAAACTTTTATCAAGAATGATTGTTAGTCGAAAAACGTCATTTTTAAAGTCCCATTTTGTTCTCTTAATTAGGTCCTCTATCAATATTTGACTATTGGAATATTAGACTATTCGAATATTCGACTTTTTGACTACATATTCAAATATTCGACTATTCGAATATTCGACTATTCAAATATTCGACTATTCGAATATTCGACTATTCGAATATTCGACTATTTGTCTATTCGAATATTCGACTATTCGAATATTCGACTATTCGAATATTCGAATATTCGACTATTCGAATATTCAACTATTCGACTATTCGAATAGGTATTCGAATAATCGACTATTCGAATTATTCAACTATTCGAATAAAATACCAAACGACTATTCGAATACTTGAATTTCAAAAATTCCGAGCCCTAGTGGGGAGACACATTTTTGGAATACGTTAGGGTTCCTCACAAAAAGAAATTGCAAACTCTGAAATCGGAGGAACGAGAAGAACAATGGACCAATCTAGAGGCTCATTTTATCGTGCTGAAAAATGTAACGGTCATAGCTCTGTGAAAAATCGGCATGACACGTGTTAAACCATACAGAAAGATCAGTTAACTTTAGGGGAATTTATTGAGTGTTCTAAATTCTAACTTTGTTAACTTCCCCAGCCAAATGAAACATTGCCTTGTTACTGAAAACCAAGCGTAATTTTCATCTGCTTATTCCCAGTTGAGAATGAAGTGGCAAGATCGGTTTTTCCTGATTTCTAAACAAAGACTTCAGAAGCTCAGTCCTGCGTGGCTTCAATACTACAGAACTAATTACTTCCACTTACGAGTTTTGAACTCAGGTGCAGACTTTAAAGATATATTTTATACCTACCTACGACCACAAATATATATTTTTCAACAAATATTTTGGTGTACATTTTGATTGCCATTATTAAAGTATGGTTGAGTGCAAATTTAACTTGCTTAGCCCACAAACTACCAGCGGAAAATAATGCGCCCCTCTTCCCATAACTCATGTTATCCAGATTCTTCCATCGAACGTTTGATGAGTAAAGTCGGAGTCGCCTAAGCCTGCGCTGTAGCAGACATCCTATTTCACATTTGTGTCATCTGAATCCTTTAAACCGAAATCTGGTATACTCGGCCATTCTTCCGTTTAGTAACTCATGGTATCCAGATACTTACAAATTTCTGATGAAATTGTACTTATAGTAGAATAAAGATAACTGAAGCTTAGCTATTGACAAAAACTTAGCCCAGTTACAAAGACGAAGGTTTGTTATGCCCTATAGTTTCTAAAAGAATATTTTAATAAATAATTGAAGGCAAATATGTATTTTTTTAAGGGTAAATAGATATAGAAAGTATGTTGGTATTAAAATTTGTTCCAAAAAAGATTCTAAATATATTGTACTAGTATGCCAAAATCACAATTAAAAATACCCATTAAAAAATTATAAATTTGATGGGATTCCAATTATTGTTCGACCATATTAAATTTTTATTCTCATTTGAGCTGTCAAGAGCAGCGCAGCGCACTAAAATCCTTCTCACTATTGTTTGCCTATATTCTATGCCTTTCAAACAGTTGGCAGCATTTTGCTGCGCCGCGCTGCTTGAATGAGAATCGGAATTTATTGATTAGAAATTTCCATGTCGTTTATATTTTAAATAAAAAAATACAGAATGTGTTGGCAACACTCCTACAGATTGAAGGTGTAAATGCTGGGGCATCATTTCACTATTTGGTCTTGACAAAAAATAATCACATTTTTGAAACACCCAAAATAACTAAAACTAGCTAAATCCATAATGTTTATGTAATTTGCACAAGTATATTTCTTAAAATGATATTTTATCAAAATAGAGACAATACCAAAACGATGTCAATGCATGTACCACTTACATTGTTGATTCTTACTTTTTGTGTGGACCTTTCAAGAATGCTTTCAAGCACAGTGTTCTTTGTTGCTGCAAACAACTTCTTCATTCATTTTTGTTGTTGTTTTGTTTTGCTTTCTATTTTGTTTTATTTGATTTTTTCCTTTTTTTATTTTATCCTTTACCCTTTCTGTCACATAGAAGAAGACTGGGAAAAAGAATTAGAAGCGGAGTTACAGGATTACGAAATGGTGAACGATGCAAAGGACAACATTATCGACAAAGACCTTGATGATATACTTAATGAAGAAACGGATTTGAAGTAACTTTCATGTGACTGATTCAAATATTTTGGTTAAACATTATTTTTGTGTATTGAAAGTGTATCATTTGAATCAGTAGATTGAGATGTTTATTTTAAAGCTTTCTACTATTACCAATAGGAAATATTTGAAAAAAATAAAAACACTCATTCAAATGATTTTGAATGTGGGCTCACATTGTAGCAGAAACTTGAGGCTAATCAAACAGACGTATTATGTAGTTTGTAGTACATTTCTTAAGGCCAGTTATCTTATTGGGAGACCAATCAGTGCGTAGTTCCTCAATATTTTCGCAGGTTTTACATGGTAGAAATACTTGTGTTTATTGCAGAAACTGTTCATGTGGCTGCTCTACTATTTGACATTAATTATTCTACTTCCATTATTACCAACCTGTAACTTAAAGAAATCAACATCAGACTGCAACCCCCAGATAAATTTTTCCCAACTAGTCAGTCACTACCCACTCACATCTATAATATATTTATATGTATATAAACAATGGGAGTTTCTTTCTCTTCAAAACTAAATTATGGTTGTTTCCAGCGATGCCGACACTCGAGATGCAGCAGCATTACTTTTGTTTTAAAATGACAAGACCAAAAAATGGTAACTATTATCTACGTCATAACTAAAATTAAAATTATATAATGACATGAGAAATAAAATTTATTAAGCACCACGGTCATTGTGAGCTAAGCGCTCCCTTCTGTCAGTGTATTTACACAACATGGCTGAGTTGGCTGACAAAAGTAGGGTACGGGTCGGTCGAGTTGATTTTTTGTGTCTTAACACTGTATGTAAAAAAAAAAAACAACTTCACCATTTAACATTCCTTATTATCTGCAACGCCTGAGAAAATATTTAGAAATTAAGCACTGTGATTGATCTACATCCAGAAAAAATATGTCTCAACTTATTTTCATAGAAAGTTTAAAAATAATACACTTCATATAGATTCTAATTCATTTTGCATTCCAAGGTTAAAGGATGCAGTTAAACTTTCACTTATCTTCTGAGCGAACGTTAGGGATTTGTTTGTTGCATTAGGGCTCGACTGTTAATATCGGTTTATTCTTGATTTCAATCCGTTGAGAAAATTGGTCAATCTGTGAAGTAGAAATCGAGTTAAAGTTTTTAGGCGTTATACAAAAATGTGATTCGCGCAGTTCCTGCATTTTCTCAGTATCTTCCCAATTATGTACCCAGAATGTTTAAAGATCGGTGCTACAATATGTAGTACTTAATCCACATAACTTCTTCTTCCACTTCCATAGTCCACGCAACATTTCTGGCAAGCCAAACGGCGATGTGCACTTCTTGACGGAAACAGTAATGAACAAGTTTGTTACATATTTTTTTTTTTGTTTGCAATATGATTATGTGTAGTAGGTATGTATTTTGAAATACATATTTAAAAAAATACTAGTAAATTTAAATGCATAATTGTCATGTAATCATAAACTTCATATTTAATTTGTAATAACCACAATATTGGAAACTATAATCGGCAATCAGGAGCTACACCAAAAAAATAAAAGATTGAAGCTAGAATTCGGCAACGCTGCGAAATGATTGATATGGAGTGGCATGATCAGAGGCATGATCGACAGCACAGTGGCTGGCGTGGTTATTGGTGAAACCAAAGATATGGTTGTCTTCAGTTCAAGTTAGCACTTTCCAGATTGGTGCTTTTTTGACGTTATGTTATTTTTATTTGTTTTATTGCGCCTGTGGTATTTTCTGACCGGTGCAGTGTTGCTCTTTCTCTAATTAACCCAACAAACAGAATGTTCTAAGCCTAAAATTGCTGATGCAAGATTTATTTATAAAATTTGTAAAAATCCTAGACAAATTGAGATTTTTAGAAATATAAGAAATTGTATACAAATTTATTAGGCAAGTCCTGAAATCAAGTATTTTGAAAAATGTGATAAACTGCGCTTTGAAGGTCTACACTGAAATTGAAGTAGAAAGTTAAGTGTAATTCCTCCAGAATGAGTTTCGCTAAAGAGAGTCGCTAGTATGCTAATTACAAAAATAAAGAATAGGTATAGCAATGAAAATTAAAAAAAGTATGTGTTGTGATTAATCTAAAATATTGAAAACATTATATATTATGTATTATGAATAAAGTGGGCGATAAAGCATTGAAAATTCTATATATGTGTATATCAAGAAATCTCCATGAGGAAGCATTTTCTCATTACGGACTTCTTAAATGTAATGTGATTATATTAGTTTATTTGAATTAATAGTTGAGTTTTAGTAATTTATTTGTTGTTAAATTTTGATTCAGTATACATATTTATGTACCTATGTATAATAGATAAAATATTATTTTTTAGGTGCTATGATAAATTAGTATTTTTTTTTTTACTATTTATGTGATAAGTTTCATATCATAGTTTGCGAGTAGTGCTTAGATATGTAGCTTTTCAGTGTTGGAAGGATTTATTCCATTTCTTCATATAATTATTGTTATAAAACAAATACCCTATTGTTAAAATGAAATAAATGTAGTTGTGCTCATCAAAAATGTGTTTTTACTTTTCACTTTCCAATCAACTTTTTAATTCAAACCAGAAAACAATAGAGAGACAATAATATGTAAGGACTGGATTCAACATTGTGGTTCTTTTATTGATGATTGAAATTGTCGATTTTTATTCCTCAAACTAAAAGTGTAATGAGAATGGGGTAAAAAAAATCGAAGTCAACTCCAGCAGATACCTATATCACTGTTTTATGAGATAGGCATAATATTACCTTGCATTTTGTGGGACTTACACCTCAATTGAAATTTTCACCAGACGTTTCTTCATGTTGAAAAAAATCACACGCTCTCTTGTGTTAAGATTTAGATTTATGATTTTAATTTATAATGATGCGACCACTGTTCGGTTGGTTATCATATTGCTATTGTCAAAAAAAATGTCATGTTACTGAATCTCCTGTCATCGAACATATTATATTTCTCTCTTCAAGTGGGTGATTTTATTTATCAAAAGGGTTAGTACGTATCTGAAGCAGTTGTTAACGACGTACAGCCCAACACTGTGTAATAAGATTTAAATGTAGGAAACGAAATATGAATTTCCATTCCACTAAATTATTCATAAAGACACAAAATACACGTCGTTTCGACTTAAGGCACACAAACACATACAAATACATTCCATAATGCCTGAGCTGCCTGCTGCCTGTAACAAACGTGTTGCATTGAAGCAAGTCATTACGTCGCAGTAGAGGCCTAGCGTTGCATGTTTCCGTTACATAGCAACTCGCATGAAACGAACTTACCCTACCCCGCGTAAAAAAGTTTCACTTCAAAAATTTGATATTCCACTTTTTTAAGACGTTTTACTAAATTTTCAAATACATAATAATTCTTACATTTCTGACCAATATTTTTTTTGTAGGACTTTTGATCAAAGACGATCAATAAAAGACGTGAAAAAAGTGAGAATTTTTTTTATTCAACATCAAAATTTTATGTACAGTAACAGTTTCGTGCAAAACCGTCTCTCTTTAGGTTTTGAGTTAGCTATTTGAAAAAAAAAAAAACAAAGAGGTTTGTATTTGACAACAAAATATAGCTTTCTTATTTTCCAGTTATTCGGAAATCTCTTACGACTTTCTTGAAGAAAGTATACTCCTGGACAAAATTATCGCACCACAAGCAGTGGTGCGATAATTTTGTCCAGGAGTATACTATTGGCCTTTTCATCTAAATATCTTTGCTGTGAGTTATCTAGGCTAGGGTTTGTTTCGGCTGGGAAGAAGGGGGTTGGAGAGTGGGATAGTGGAGAAAAAAATGTTCACAGGATTTGATCGTTGTGGAAATGTCGCATATTTAAATTTATATAGGCGTTGTCCCCGAAATGAACTTCACAGAAATATTGGAGTACTTATATACCTACTCACAAAGTCTTAAAATTTGTCGATTCTTCTTATGTATTTGAGCAGGCACCCACGTAACTGCTTTATCAGAAAATATCGATTCAATGAAGACCTTATTAAATATCTGGTATTTAGAGCCCATCTTAGAGTTTTGACAATGATTACCCTCAATCACTTGGATGTTAACGTCTCTAGGATGGCTTTCACTACAGCAAAGTATTGAGGCGGCCAATATTCTGATCATTTATGAAATTAAAAATTATTTATTGCCTGAATATCTACAAGAAACTGTTATTCCAAGATCAGAAAAACACTTATACAATGTTAAATCAAAACATAATTTGAATATCTAATTTTCCAGAACGACTCATACCTGTAGAAAAGTCTTTTTAGTGATGGCTTGAGATATTTTAATGCGTTAAGCTGAGGACACAATGACAAATACAAGATACAAGTGACAGATACAAAATACCAAAAAATCGAAATTTTGTATCGTGGCGTGGCAAATGAATTGTATCCTGTATGTATTTATTCTGGGTTATAGCATTGATACACGTGTTATATTTTTGTCTATTGTCACTTGTACCTTGTATTTGTCATTGTATCTTCAGTCTCACCGTTAGAGGCAAAAAACATAACCAACTGTTTATAAGAAAACTAAAGCAATTTTATCTTGAGAAAAACTAAAAATTTAATTGTTAATAATTGTTAAGACTTTTTTCCCTCTTGTTACTGTAAATGTTTTGATTGTCTCTCACGGTTTAGTTAAGTTAGGTTTTATGTTAAACTTACTTAAGTGCTTATTCAACCAAAAATTATTACCTATGATAATATTGTAAGAAGTAGCTTTAAGGCTAATAGTAATAAATATTTAATTTCATTTCATTTCAGTATTTTACATTTCCCTCATTCTAATAGCGGTTTGAGCGAATCGATATCTGCGGTCCACCCTTGGCCTACCCCGGGTGAATAATATTGCCTATGTTTTTGTTACTGTTGATCTAGATTTTCCAATCAGAAATTCAACGGTACATTTTGGAGAGGTCCCTGTGTTTTGAAGTCTCTGTGACCCCTGTATCATCAGGAATTTCATGAGTAAAAACATTGTGTAGCTTAGACAAGAGTGGGGAACCCCTGACCTGATGATGTGCAAAGAACATTGATGGTAATATGCGAAAGCACAAAGATTCTTTTGGACTAAGAACTTCTTAGGCATTCTAATTAAGTCGCTGGAAGTACCACGCTGATCATCTTAATTACCAGGGTTGTTATGCCAGACCCTGATAAAAGCTTTGCTATTTTTTTTTTAAATCCTTGCATGATATTCATGATACTAGTTACCAGCCTCGTAGTTTTTATGTTACTGAGCCCGGCCCTAAAACCAAACTGCGCTCCTGGCAGAATGGTATTTTCTGATATGTGATGCTTAATCAGAAAAAGGAGAGGCTAATGGCTTGGGGGTATGGTATTCCCCTGTTTTGTGAATCAGTATTACTTTAGCCTTGAAACAACACTTTTGTCGGAACAGTAGGCAAAGAGGTTGTTGCATGTTGATTGGACGAATATTATCAGGGGTTGTGGTTTCCAAAATCTAAATATACTCCAGAAATTCATTTGTGCAAAAATGCAAATACAGGAAAAATAAAAATCTTGCCAATGAAGTGGCGTGTTATATGCAAGACAACCAAGTAGCAGATGAATAATACACCCTCCCTCTTTGTATTCCAGCATTGAAAGAGAACGACTAGAGGTTGAACAAAACTTTGGCATTTCTAGAATTCTGGATTTTGTATTGTTTGTAAAGTTAACTGTCTACACTCTAACCAAAATTATAACAATTTACAATGTTAGGAAGTCATAAAAATATGGCAATATGTACAGAGTTAGGAAAAATACGATTTAGTCTTTGTATATATACAACAAAACACTACCTAAGATTTTATATCTGTTTCTCTAACACAGTTTATTAGATCGCTCATTCTACTCCTATAGCACCAAGAAGAGGTAATTCTTCCCGTTTCTTTCTTCGTTCACATTTCGGACATGGTTTTGAAGGATTAAGGCAATTTTTATGATACACGGCATTACAAGTAGCACACTGAAATATAAAATTTTGTAGTTTTTTTTTATGATATAATAATATTAATAAATAATCACCCTGAATACATTTTCTACATCAAAAGGAAACAATGCTTTTGGATTGGTACACACTTCACAGACAAAACCTTTCTGACTGCATAGCCAACAACTGGATACATGATTTCGACCAAACTTTATAACATCTTCTAAATGTTGGGCCAAAACATTATTTTGAATTTCGTCAAGGTCCTACAGAAGAAAAATACTTGTAGGGTTATTCAAAACAAATAAGCAAAAATAATAGAATTGCTACACAAAACGACCCTACTGCCCACGGTATAGTCGTGCTATTTATCTCTGGCAACTCTGAGCGCTTTTTTACCCAGGGAAAAAAAGTTAGAGACAAATGGATCATATTTCTTTGTTCGTCACTGTCATCGATATCAATGGACGCGATATTTTTTTTTGTGGTTCTTTCATCTGATCTGTTTCTCAACACTTATCTTGGATTATCAATTACAAATCACATTGACATGATTACAAACAGGGCCATGGGGAAGCTGGAATTTGTCTTTCGAACCATAAAAGAGTGCAACAATGTTTTTACCTTGTACAACATCGGTTTCATGAAAGAATTGAATTTTATTCACAATTGAACTGCATTGAAATCACGAGAATACAAAATCTCACTTGTTTGGAGAGTACCTATGATAAGATATTTTAGCATTTCAACTTCTGTGTAAAACCCCATGCAATTTAGGCGAGACGAAGAGATCTTTTTTACATTGGTTTCCAGAGGACTATTTTTTGTTTGTTTTACTTTGGTTTAATACTAGCTTGTCTATTGCAAACCAGATTTCAGATACATTAAAAATGATATTGATGACATAGTTTTCTGGTTTGATCTCATTTTATTCCATCTACTTCGACTTGTCTGTTTTTTTTTTAAATTAAATTGTATTGGTTTTACACTATTTTCTGGAAAATTGTATCTTTCTGATTTTTGACTAGCGTATTATATGTCACACAGTCAGATGCTCTACTAGTTTCGGAACTTCTGGATTTGATACATAAAGTCTAGGACGCCGAGTGTGCTATTTTTATATTTCGTGCAGCCAAATTGCTTGGAGCCGAAGTAGTGGTTTGTTACGCCAATTTTCCTCAACGACATTGGATAATATGGAGAAATTGAAATTGGTACGTAGGTAGTTAGTGATCTGTCCTCTAGTTCCACTTTGAAAAATTGGGTCAATTACTGCTCATGTTAAAATTTCAGGAAGAAAATTGCATTCTCTTTTGCATTGGGTTATTAGTTTTGTTGGAGGTAATTCATGATAATTTTTATCGATTTAGGAATTTCTTGGAGGAGAAGGGGTAAAATTGAAGACTATGTAAGAAAATGTCTGTAAACATTGCTTAAGATTATATAAAAACCATTTTTTACGCTTGGACAACACACAAACTGTTGTTCCGTTCTGCTTGGACTACAAAATTGATGAACGTTACTCATTCTTACATTTTTCTGGATCACTGTTAATATATGAAATAAAAAAAATACACGTACTGATATTGAATATTGATGGATGTGTTCATACATATACTCTCTTGGCCACATTTGTTTTTGAAATTGTTCAATGATAGGATCTCTACAAGTATATAGGTAGGCTCTTAAAAAATTCAATTGCGTCCTTAATGTTTGTAACTGAGCCATTTCTTCAGCTGCCCCATAAATATATGGATTAGCGATCTAAAAAATCAATATTTTCAACTCCAATTTTTTTCCATCTGGAATACGTACCTTGAAATCTATCAAAGGATGATCCTTTATTTCGTTAATATAATCAAAACTTTTGCGAGATACAGAATAAGGTTTAAAGTCCCAGTTGCATATTATCCTTGCTGGTATCCCTATTTCTTCAGTGCTCATACATTGTGAACAAAAATATTTACCAGTATAACTGCAAACCCTGAAATAATGAAAATAAAATAAGGTTGCACGTATGCAAGGAAAAACGTAATTGTGCAAAATGATGGACTTCCTACTACATATAATACACTTTAGAACAGATGATTTCTAAATATGTATTAATATTGGGGTGGTACAGAAACTTTAATCAGTGGGCTCTGTTCAGAATTGATTTATATTTTGGTGTAAATCTCAATTTATTGATTTTCAGGCCACTTACTATGCAAAGTCTGCATTTTAATAAAAACAGTACTTAATTCTCGTTTTGTGACCCTTACAAATCTATGAAATTCTAGTTTCTATTCCACTGTTTCTAAAATTTGCAAAACTGTAGCTTCTGACAACCTAAATTTCAAGAATCTGAAACTTAATTTACTGTACCCTAATTTTCTTGGCCCTCTTCAAAAAACAGTGATGTCTCATTTCCATATTTCTTATCTCAATCAAAAATTACCAAAATAGTCACATAGGTACCAAATTTCAACCATTGGTTTTAAAAATGAAAATAAATGATTTCAAGCAAGCAAAAAGTAAGGTTCAAAAAAGTTTAATCCCTATAATAATTTCTGAAAGTGCGTATCATTTGTTTTTGTGCGTAACTGCACACCTCCCAGACATTATAACTTATAACTGTAATAGTTGAATTGGGTGGATATCTGCTTGATGCAGATGGATGAATAATGAACACAAAAGCTGTTCAACTTTTTTAAAAAATTCAGGTTTTAAACAACAAAGTGTTGGTGATATAAAGAATGCAACTTACTGGTATTTTTGCTCACCAAATGGTGTTTTGCAATCCGCACACTCAAAATTCTGCGCATCCAGTCCCTTTTCCAGAGCAATTTTAAAAAGGTTAGCAGTTAAAGATGTTGACTCTGACCTAACAAGGGTTGTCATCGATAATGGTGAAATTGCTGTCTCAGCCTTAAAAAAATATATAGTATGTTCATAAAGTCGCGCATAAATTTAACGTTAGAAAGAAAAGGAAAATGTTTTAGAAAATCGCGAAAACCAGTGGGTTTTGTCTTTTTGTTAGATTTTTTTTTATTTATAGAATATGTCCCAAACATATCTATCTGTGTATCAACTTTGGTTTCTGAAACGAAATCCGCCCATAATTTATGCATTTTTGGATTCCCCATTTTATTTTGAGCATTTAGGTCCCATAGACAAATTGAATTATATTGTTCTGGAGGTGAAGTCAAGAAACCAGATAGTACAGAAATACAGAAAGTTGGAGAATACATAGTAAAAATCATTAGGACAACAAAAACTAGATATTAATCACCACAGTAATGTCGCAGCAATGGGAAGAGTATTTCGAAGAATTACTGAGAGAACAACAAGCAGAGTTTAAAAAAGAAAGAGCATCGACATAAAGCATACAAACCGCAAGATCACCGATCAGCAATATGAATATCTTACATAAAGGGAGAAGTTGGAAAACAATGTCGCTTATTGAAAAATTGAAGAGCGCCAGAAGAAGGATAAATATATGCTTATAAAGTTTGGAAGCAATACACTTTACGACTTCACACGTAGGTACCGAACAAGATTTTTCCAAACATGCATATTATATAGGCGTAAATTAGACAAAAAAAAAATGCAAAAACTACCGAGGCCTCGCAGTGACAAATACACTAACCACATGAAAAAAGTAAAATAGAAAACGAGTACGACAATAGCGAATGACATCCAAATTCCTAGAATAATACATCAACATGATGGTTGGGAGAATATGAATTCGTTTTTTTTTTTGAGATAAGAATAATCATTTTCAGAAATTCTCTTTTGGAAACACCTTCCTGTCTGGCCTATATACAGGGTGAGTCCGACATGAGTGCGCATTTTGTTATGGTAGATAGAGTACAGTAAGACAATCACTTTTTGCATGGGTACATGTGTCCGCAAACGTCTCGTTAAGAAAATACCGAGTGTTGAAATTTTCGGAAAATTTTGACTTTTTCTGTTTAGATTCAAAATGCCTTGAGCGATTTTGTTCAAATTTCCAGAAAGTGTTTGCAATGTTCTCAAGCATCTTTCTGAAAAATCCGTTTGAGTTCCACTTTTCCAGGACGGGACCTAGAGCGACAAAAGAAAAAAGTGGTACACCCCTGAGCTTTTTGACAAATTAAAAATTATTTTCTGATTCCTTGTTTAATTTTAAACAAAAATGGTATCCCGAGTTTTTCTTGTTCGATGCGACGTTTACGAGATAAAAAATAAAAATCAATGTATTGTTTGGAAAATCTCGTTGTTTGATATACTCCACTTTGTTCACATGACACCCGAAACTAAACAACAATGAAGTTGAAAAAGTTTATGTCATATTATATCGCAAACACTCTCTGAAATTTTGAACAAAATCGCTCAAGGCATTATGAACCTAAAGACAAAAAGTAAAAATTTTCCAAAAATTTCAACACTGTATTTTCTTAACGAGAGGTTTGCGAACACATGTTCCTATACAAAAAGTGAATGTCATACTATACTCTATCATAACAAAACGCGCACTTATTTTGGACTCACCCTGTCCTATGCAGTGCCGTATTTCCCTATACGCACAATACGCACAGGCGTAGAGCGGCAAATCTGGGGAGGCGGCAAAATTTCAAAAAAAAATCAAGAAAAGAGAAAAAATAATCAGGAAAAGAAAACCCAAGATCAAACGCGAAATGCGTTTTGTTTCGCGTTGGATCTTTATTTGATTTTTGATAAATTCGAACAATATTATAATAAAATAACAAAGCACAAAAAACAGATATCTACCAAAAAAATCATATAGCCTGTAAACGCCGGTTATAAAAATTAAAAGTACATATGAAAAAAATGAATCAAACAAAAAAACACACAGATCAAAATAATGTATACCAAGTGTAGGTAATAAACTGTAGGTAGTACAGAAAAAAAATTTGAAGTCTCAAAATAAACATTTTTGGGCGTGGCACCCAAAAAGGTTTTCGTTTAATCCTGGCGTCCCTATTAAGTTTGCCTCCTCTGCCCTAAAAAGCCTTATAGTCCAAGAGCCGGCAATATTAACGGGTATGTGATCGTTGCAATGGATAATTTCTACATAAAACAATAGTTCATAGTAACCTTTAAACCAAATGGATGGGTTGCCTTAATTCTCATGGGCGTTAAGTTGTTTTATAAAAAGATGCTGAACAAAACCATAGGTGCAACAAATAAGAAGTACCTTGCGGTGTAGGGGGCTCTCATCATATGCAGCGAACACTCTTTTTTCACAATTTCATGTTTCTTTTTTTGCCTAAAGACCTACAACCGTATGCAAAATTCTCTTCACAGAATCCTCTTTTAACTTAAAAAGTGACTTTGAGAGCTGTCACTTTCAAAAATTTGTATTCAGCAAGCAAAATAACGCGCGCGCTCGACTTTCAATGAGGGTTGCCATCATTTCTGGCCATCAAAATCGAGGCAACCCTATATATTATTTGAGAAGACCATAATAAAGAATATATCTACCAATTTCCAGCTATTGTAACGATAATATTGTTCCTTCGAAAAAAGAGGAGTAGTTTACGCCCAGCTACCAAAGGGTTGCTGCCATGAGAATCAAGGCAACCCATCCATTTAGTTTAAAGGTAACTATGAGCTATCGTTTTATGAAAAAATTATCCATTGCAACGATCACATACCCGTTAATATTGCCGGCTCTCCTACTATAAGTACACGTACGCCACTGTCCGTGTCCTGTATCTTCCTGGCCTCCCAGTTTTTTAAGGCACGCGCCGCCCCTGCCAACATGAGGGCAGCCTTTCTAAACAGGCGTAGGGCGGCAAATTGGTAAATCCGGCACTGGTCCTATGTTTTTGGACAATCATTAGAAACTAGCTAATACTCCTGATTTCAATATTTCATTTCATTTGCTTTTATTGTTTTCAAGTGAATTTGAGGTTTTGTAAGCAATATTGATACCTTGTTCATTTATATATAAACTCAGTTTTTTGCATGTTGGATGGAAGTATGTCAATAATTTGAAGTTTCTAACAGATGTTGAATAAATATAGTGGAAACCTAGTGAAATAGTTATTTTACTGTGCGACACCATGAGCAATTATTATTTATTTTTTTTTTTATTCATTTATTTACGTATAAGAAAAATACATTTGAAGTTGAACAGAGTTTAAATCTAAATAAAAAAAAAAAAAAAAAAAAAAAATCTAACCTAAAACAATTCTCCTGGCCTTCGTCTTAAATTTATCCAGAGATAAACCAAAGAACTCAAGGCCCTCACAGAACTTATTTACATTGGCAGATATTCTATTCACAGGACTGAATAGTAGGTACCAGGTTCGACAGTAAGGAATGTGCAGTAAAGATTTACTTCGTGTCTGATAACTTTGAATGTGTAGATTAAAACATTCAAGACATTCGTGGCTTTTTATGTAGTAGTTAAGAATTTTAAATGCAAAACAGACATCAAAATATTCCCTTCTGCGAACAAGAGTAGATAAGTCTAAATAAGTCATAGTCAGGTCCACACTGAGAATTACACCACTCAAAGAAAGTTTGTACCTTGCAAACTTAATAAATTTGTGTTGAACACTCTCAAGCCTATTGATGTGGATCTGATAGTAAGGTGACCAAACTATGCATGAAAATTCAAGAACGGACCTGACCAGTGATGTGTACAGAATTTTGATAGGGTGTATACTTGTAAAGTCCCTAGTAGCTCTCTTAATAAACCCCAACATTTTATTAGCCCTGCCAATTACCACTTCAAAATGCTCAGTGAACATTAGCCTAGTATCTAGATAGACACCAAGATCTTTAATGATAGAAACTTCAGACAAGCGAACATTGTTTAAGTAATACTGCAAGGGAACACTATGGGTGCGTCTACTGAATCTTATACAACAGCACTTATCGATGTTGAGGGACATGTAATTAAGCTGACACCAATCGTGAACGATGTTAAGATCATTTTGCAAAATAAGTATGTCTTGAGTTGACGTCACCTGACGATACAACTTCAAGTCATCAGCAAAAAGTAAAAAATTTGACGAGAGCAACGATCCTAAATCGTTGATAAATAAGCTGAATAGAAGGGGGCCCAAGTGAGAACCTTGGGGTACCCCAGAGGATGCATGGAAAAGAGAAGAAAGATAGCCATCGATCTTGACTTGTTGCATTCTGTTAGTAAGGTATGATTTCATCCATGAAAATAAATGTCCAGAAACGCCGAAACTTGAAAGCTTTGAAAGAAGGATGTTGTGATTTACCTTATCAAAGGCTTTACTGAAGTCAGTATATATTGCATGAGTTTCTGCATTATTAGCAAATGATGAATTTATGAATGTTGTAAAGAGAAACAGGTTCGTCTCAACGGATCTACCGGCTGTCAGGGGCGGATGGGCAACTTTAAATCAGCCCGGGACAGTTTTTGCTGAAGCAGCCCCGTGGGGGGATGTGTAACGCTGGAGGCGAAGATACCCAAACATTTTTCCTTTGCAAAAAAGTGTTAAAAAATAGGGTATTAAATAGTCTATTTTTATAGAAATAAAAAACCTACTTTTATTACTCAAAAATACGAAAGCGTATAGCGTATAGCCATCCAGATATTGTAAAATATTTTCAATATGTTCAAGTTTACACTTTTTCTGTTTATAATCAGACATTACCATATTTACCGCAATTGGGGTTGGTTCGCAATTTTATTCAGACATTAGGTACAGGTCTATGTTCATTTTCCGAAAACAAAAATTTCGATTTTTTTCCGAATGCTTTCATTTCGAAAATCAACCATTTGGAAAATATTGACTTTCAATAACTTCTTTGGAAAATCAATAATTTTGAACTTGAATCATGCCCAAACTAACCGGATTATTATTTTTAAGTTTGGTAATGTCTGATTAAAATTCCAAATTAACCCAAATTAGACATTGGACCCCATGGATCATATTTCCGAATCTTCTCGGATATGACATGGACTCGATACATTTTAAGCATATAGCACCAGTGAGAAAACATTGAAATGAAAATAAATATTTGAAGTATAACCGGGTTATTCTTGGTAAGTTTGAGTTTGGTAATGTTTGATTACAATAAATTGCGAACTAACACAAATTTTGAAAACATGATGCTTATGTTCGATCAAAATTGCAAAGTTGCCCAAACTAATCGGGTTATTTATCGGTACGTTTGATTACAATTGCAAACTAACCCATACTAACCGCGGTTAGTATTGGTAAGTTTGAAAATATCTTATTGAAATTGCAAACTAACCGGGTTATTATCGGTAATGTGTCTGATTACAATTCCAAACTAACACAAACTAACCGAGTTATTATTGATAAGTTTGATTATGTCTGATTAAAATTTCGTACTTAACGGGTTATTATCGGTGAATTTGGAAGACTCCCCGGTAATGTCTGATTAAACAGAGAAAGTGTGTTTACAGAAAAAGTGTAAATTTTACTGAAAATATTTTCCAATATTAGATGGCAGCTCTACGCCTTGTGCAAAACGGTAAAAAACCAAAACCGTTTTCTGCGCCTTGAGTGATTTTCTTTCAATCAAGCATTGTTTGTTATCGACGTTATCGTATTTTATTTTTTCCTAAACCGGCCCACTTGGCTCTCCAGCCCACCGGGAATCGTCCCGGAGTCCCGCCTGAGCCCATCCGCCCCTGCCGGCTGTAAAACCGTGCTGTTGACTGATCACAATCTGATGAAATATTTTTGAAAGAATTCCTTCCACGCACTGCTCAAATAATTTTGGAATCGCAGACAGAATGCTGATGGGTCTGTAATTTATTACATCATTTTTGCTGCCTGACTTGTAAATAGGACAAACGTAGGAGAGCTTCCACATTTCTGGAAAAATTCCAGAAGATAATGATTTGTTGAAAATATTAAACAGAGGAAGATACAAAGTGTTAGAACAAGATTTTAGTACTTTGTTGGGAATACCATCAGGTCCTGCAGAGTTGTTGATGTCCAATTGCGTTAAAGCCCTCTCAATATCTGTTGGATCTATGACAATGCTTGAAACATTCTCAAATCGATCAGCAAAGGTTCCAGCGTCGGAATTTCTCTGAGGGTTATAGACGGAGGAGAAATAGACAGCAAAAAGATTAGCTATGTCAACACCGTTGGACGCCTTTTCTGAGGCAAGAAACATTTCGTTAGGAATAGTACCCTGATTAGATTGGGAGTGAATAAAGTTCCAAAAAATTTTCATATTGGTGCCTATGGCTCTTTCAGTATCACTTATGTATAATTTATAGCACTCTTTGGTGAGGTTTTTACAATCTCGCCGAAGTGTACTAAATGCAAAGTAATCCAAACCTCTATTCGACCGCTTGAATCGTCTGTGAGCAATTTTCTTTTGAAAAATCAGATTTTTCAATACGTTAGAGAACCAGATAGGAAATTTCTCGCTGTAAGAATGTGCCTTTATTGGAACAAACATATTAAAGCAGTCGAACAGTACCAAGTAAAAGCTCTTAACAGTTTCGTTTAGATCATCCGTCATAATGGATCGCCAATCAAAGGAAAGAAAATATTCATTAACCAAATCAAAATTGGCATTTTTAAAGTCATAAGAAAAATAATTAAGAGGCTTCAGAAATTTAGCTTTAACAACAGGTATGGAAAACTCTAGAGCTGGGTGATAACGATCACATCCCACCAGACCGTCAGATGTTACAAGTGAAATAGGCCCAAAGTTGGCAAAACATAGATCCAGGATTGAACCATGATCGTTAGCCACCCCATTGTATTGAGACAGATTAAGAGAAGCAGTACTATCACATAACAATATTTCCTTAGTTGTATGGGATAATCATTTAAACGGGCCGATGAACGCTCTAGTCGAGCCCCTAAAACCAGCCAATCAGCGTCGATCATCTACAATCAAGCTCTATTATTAGTACATAGTACATATATTTTACACACTTAAGTTTAAAAAACAGAACAGTACCGTCGAAATCATGGTCACATAAGTATAGCTCAATGGCCTGGCCTAGAAAGGACAGAACCTAAAATAAATAAAAACTTACATTGCTTTCTGTAGGACTTGAACTAATATCACCATTCCTTTTATCTTCAAACTTCTGCCATAATCCCCTAAGGTCAGGTGTTCTTATATAATTGCCCCCTACCAGATCATAACTTTCCACAAGAGCAGTGAAACTTGCTTCAATTGATTTTGTCATTTCCTTTTTACCTTGTATCTGATTTGGTATATTCTCTATGGCTATTTCTTTCTTCTCTTCAGTTTCATCAAATGACCAGCCAGTTCTATTCAATGAATTTCCTATATTATGATTAATGCTATCTTCTATAATTCCCTTATTTGGTTCTTTTTCAATAGTGATATAGGAAGACGAAGAAGGCACTTCCAAAGCACTTTCGTTCTTATCTTTTGCGAGAATTATTTTAAGAACATCATCTTCTGATAAAGCAACAACTTGCCTTAATCCTGATGCTTGTGATCCAAAAGACTCAGAAGAATATAATGAAGCTGTATCAGAAGCTTCTTCTATTCGCCACTGTTTGCTATCTTCTTCTATAATCATAGCGACATCATCACATGGTGCAAGTGGGCAGTTTTTTAAAGTTGGCGACCAAATACCAGCTAAAACTAAACTTTGGAGTTGCCAACTGTTCAAAAGGCTGGAATTACTAGGCAAAGTAAATGTTTTACATGCTTCAACACCTTCGATGAGCCTTTGAGCTACATCTAGTAAGTCACTATCACGAACATAGGCTTGGGGATTGTAATATGATCTTAAAGCTGATAAGTCCTGTCGAATTGTCATTAGGTAAGATGATAAAAGGCAGTCGTTCAAGGCTAGTCGTACCCACGCTCTGCATTGTCCCACCTCTGTATTTATAAGGTTCAACTTCGTTATCTGTATAAAAATATTTTTATTTTATTACCTAATGAAGTTTTTCAACATCATTAGGTAATTAATATAAATTAGGAGACACGCTACACACAAATAATCCTAAAAACTCGACAGTGAAGACTAAATAAAAGGACTGACTATAATAATTGTAAAGTAGATACTGGGTGTTGGATAGAAAGGATTTCTATTAAGCCATAAAAGACTTATTGGCTTTGGCTAAATAATAATATGTAAATCTTGAGAAAAATACCCTACATATTGATCAATAATTAATTCCATTGAATAACAAAGTTTATTTTCATATTATTATTCAGTGTGTTTGCTAGTGGGTTTTTAAGCTCTTAATACAAAAGTATATTTTTTTCAATGCAGAATTGACTCAAATTTGGCATAAACATTCTTTGTGTTCCACTAATTTTATTTTTTTGATTATGGAATTGCATTGAGAGCCCGGCAATATTCTAAGAATCCAGTTGTTTATGTCTAAAGCGTGTCCATTCTGGTAATTCCATTATATTCCAATAAACATTTTTTTCTACATAAGTCCCAAATACAATGTCGTCTAAAGGCAGTCAGTTTGAATACAAGAGTTGTTGTGTACTGTTTGATAAAAGCGATGAGTAGGTAAATTTTAATAATATTAATTTGTTTAATAAAAGTTGTTACTGTTTGTAAAGTGAGTTTTAATGGACCGGATATGTGACAATATTTAGAGTTTCTTTGTGAAGTGTCAAAAGTGAGAAAACTGAGTTCCTGCCAACTACTGGCAATTAGGCGACACCGCGCATAATGTAATCCACATAGTACCTAGCTGTCGGTGAATATTTATTTCCACTGGAAAACTTCACAGTAATGAAACAATTGAATGAGTCGATCCTAGATAATCCATCAAAGAATGTTTATGTCAAATTTGGGCCAATCAAGACGGACCCAGTATGCAGCCCTATGACCTGTCACACATTTTTTTTTTTGTTTTTTCAAAAGTTAAGTGAAGTGAATGCAAGCCGCTTGCCTTTAAGATGTACGAACTTTAATAAAAAATTACCTGATCAATGATTTGTCTATGGGAAATAACAAGAAGAGGAGACCAAAAATTAGGGGGCTCAGGTTTTTCATCAATATCCGCTAAAACCCTTTTAAATCTATGAGTTAAAGAGTCTCTCAAACCATGTAAAAATATAGCCTCAATAATAGTACACAGCTGATTGGCTGCTTCAGCCATATCGATCACTTTATTTGATATGTTTTCTTCAACACTAGCATATTGGATTTCCTTTACTGTGTTTGAGAGATTGGTAGTAATCGATTCTTTAATAATATCGTCCTTTTTACTTGATGTTAAACGGACACTTTTCAATAATTTATTCATATTTTCCTTTCAAGCCAAGTCCCAAAATGACAATAGCTTCTCTATAGGCTACAACCGTTGGGATAATATATAATAATTTCTATAGGGTTTAGGGGTCTTTGTCCAGTGCTTAAGTTTGCACCAGTGCGAGAGGGTTTGCAAATACTCCAGCTAAGTCTCTGATAAAATAAAATACGGTATTCCTATAGCAATCTTTCCTTGTGAACAAAGTGAACCCATCTATGCCCAGTGGAAGACGATTAACTCTTGCCTAAAAGAAGCGAAAAAATTTAATTAGCAACAGCAAATCCAAGCCCTTTAAGTTGTAAAGAGGATACTCTTCCACAACCCTTTCACATAAATATATGAGAGTGTTTTTTTTTATATGATTATATATTATTAGAGCCTGAATAAGAGTTTATGATGAAAGTTATTTGGCGTAAGTAAATGTAAAAATCTACATATGTATATAATATGCTAATGTAGGTATAGTATAGAGTTTGTTATTTTCGATTCGGTCCAAATTGGGACATTACACTAACTTGAAGAAAAAAACTCTGATTTAAATTAGTTAGTGTCCGTTTCTCAATAGCGAGTCACCTCCAGGTTGGTTTTAACTCCAGGGTAAGCGTGTCCAGAAGCTATGTTTACCTTGGAGTAATGCTTAACCCAGGAGTGACTTGCTAGGGGCATTGTGTATTTTTAAATTAACCTCAAGTCTGAAGTAAGTACATAAAGTTTACAAAATGCAAATGCATGTTAATGAGTTTGAGAATATGAAAAAACTTAATGAATAATTTTACATTTTAACTTTACTCACCCACAGTTGGGCAGCAGATATTTTATAGGCAAATAGCAACTGGGTTATTCTTATCCTTACATTCAATACTACAAACTATAAAGGTCATGCATTGCTTTTAAATTGATACAATCACAAATAAAAAAGTAGTTGGGTCTGTTGATACTCTGTATCTACAGCTAGGCAATAACGAGTCCAGATCAGGAATTAATAGCCGAGTTGAAGAAATATCTCGAGAAATATGTTTCACCATGGGACAAGCATGCAGTTGTGTGAAATATTTAGCAATGCAATAATAACACTTATGTCACAGACATTTACCAAGTAACAGGTGTCTAGTATTTTTTACTATTGCTACCTTGAATAAACCTTGGAAATGCAGACATTTTTTTCTTTGTTGAATCTCGGTTATTAAGTTTCACGCGATACCCATGTCATCAACTTCCTATTTTATTAAAAATAAGATTATTTTTCCAGTTTCATTAGTTTCAAACCAGATTAACAGACTATTAACTTTCAAAATTTATAAATTGTTGAACATTTTCAAGATGTGAGTCATTTAATAGAAAATATCTGTACAGCTGTTTGCAAAAAGCCATCATAATCATAATATTATTGTTAGAAAATTAGGCAATCCAAACCATGTGACTATTCAAGATGGCGTGGCGCCAAGCATAAGGAACGTGCCTAAGGTCGTGTTTATATTGGAGCTGTGATACACGATAAAAGCAACGATACTTGTATAGTATCTTAGTATCGTTGCTTTTATCGTTTATCACAGCTCCAACATAAACACGGCCTAATGATGGGAGCCAGTGCCGAAGCTCCTGACAGTTTTGACAGATAGTTGCAATGCTGCCAGGAGTGCGTTCGAAATCACTCTGGGCGTCACACCGAGTGCACACCAGCCATGAATAATTCATAAGTGCACTCGGTGTCACGTTTCGGCCGATTTCGAACGCACACCAAATATTGTAAATGGGTACATTCCACTGATCTCAAAAATAAATGGATAAACAAAGAACGCTTCTAATGCTGCTAATTTACGAGGTCATAATGTAAACAAAAACAACTGACTGGGACAGCTGTGAGCGTGCGCAGTAGATACATGTACGGTGCCTCCACAAAATCTGGCCAATGAAAATGAAGGAATTTCAAAATGTAGAACAGTTTTTCGAAAGATAAGATACTGCGCAAGCGTTGGGCTGTTCCGTTGCACAACTGTTCGGAGAATATTGACCCCAAATTTTCGCACAAGTTTAGCCAATCGAGCCGTATGATTGCTTATCCATTTATTTTTCAGATCAGTGGTACATTCAGGCGGTAACAGCGGCTACAGTGGCTAAATAAACCTTTACATACAGTGGCGACAATAGAGGTCCCGCCGCCATCTTGTTCCCAACCTCTTGTTACTTTTAAATATTGATATATAAGATTTAAATGGACATCTATCATAAAAAATTTAAATCGACATATTTGATGACCATTATAAGGTCTATCAAATACGTCGTTTTCCCTGTTTTATGATGGATATTCACCTAAATCCCATATATTCATATTTGAAATAAGCAATAGTTGGGAACAAGATGGCGGCGTTTTCAATATAAATATATGGGATTTTAGAACCAATTAAAAATAAGACAGCAATTGTCGCCACTGTGGGTAATAGAGTCACTGTAACAGCGGCTAGCTCAGCCACTCAGCAGGGACTCTATTCTTGAAACCAAGGAACAGCGTTCTCATAAGAACGATTGCTCTGTCATTGTCAGTGTTATGCCGGACGACAAAGACAGAACCATTATTCCAATGAGAACGCTGCTCCCCTGTTTCGAGAATAAAGTTCTCGCTGAGAGGCTGAACTAAGCCGCTGGCACCGCCTGAATGTACCCAATAGTTTCCTCGGCGGAAGTTTTAAACATTATTCAAGTATACAAATACTTATTAATTGAAAACAATTTAAACAATCAAACCTAGTCAACAAATAGTTTATTAATAATGAAACTTGCAAGCAAAATAATTAAAATACGCATAAAAAAAAACACATATACCAAACAAACTGGTATGGCCACCACGCCATATTGAATTTTTTTTGACAGATGGACTGGATTGCCTAATGGCAATAGTTGTATTCCTTTCACACCTAGGAGGAGCTCCGGAACAGCTCCGGGGCTTCACGCGCTTATTCCTTTCGAAAAGTGTTTGTCGTATCACGCATCTGTTCCCTGCAAATCGGGGGCTACTAAACACCGGAGCGAGTAGCTCTAGTGTTTCAAACTCTTGAAAGGAATACAACTTATAATAAAGCCTAGTACTCATAACTGCGAAATTCGCTCTTTTTGACATTGCTTCGACAATTTGACGTTTGATTCACGCATAAAACGTCAAATTGTCGAAGCAATGTCAAAAACGTACGAATTTCGCAGTTATGAGTACAAGGCTCAAGTTGTATTCCTTTCGAGAGTTTGAAAGCTGATACACTTTTTAGAGCAAATTTTAAGCGATTGACCGATCGGTCATCTTGATAGATAAACCATTAATTAAGCGTCATTTGTCGACCAATTGGTCTTAACTGACGTTTAATGCATTGCTTATGCAAGATGATTGATTGGTCAATCGCTTAAAATTAGGTTTAGGTAATTTTTTCTTGAAGTTAGCAACAAACTTCTTAAATCTGAAATTTGGGGTGTTCATTTCACATTTGAGATAATCTATTGTAAATCCAATCCTACAAATTTGGAGGATTGGATTAAGTACTCTGATCCGGATAAACTCTAATCCTGGGTGTTTATTTCAGGATTATTAATCCATTCCGGATACAACGCGTGAAATAAACGTATTAGGCCCAGTTGTACAATCTCGGTTCAAAACAAAGTTCAACTAAACTCGACTGGTACTTGAGCTTTCTCATTTAAAATGAATTGCTGTCAGTTATTAATCAAATTCTATCATTTTTGACAGCAATGCATTTCAAATGGGGAAGTTCAAATACCAGTCGAGTTCAGCTGAACTCTGTTTTGAACCAAGATTGTACAACTGGGCCTTAGTCATAGGCAAAAAGGACGATGCAAACGATATCTGAAAGAGGGTTATTTTAAAATGTTGTACTAAAACCAAGTATGCATAAAGCAGAAGCCAGCGGAATCATAGCCTGTGGTGCAAACAACCTACGTCAAGGCGAAAAAGGACACGCAGTACGTCATCACTGGTACTTTGGCGTGGTGGGGGTGGGGGCCTTGAGATTTGATCTACACACAAAGGCCTTATAGGTTATTTGTTATTTCACAAAAGGCTATCCTGTGTAATGTATAATATCCTTGAGTGCCAAGGGTCAGCTCAGCAGACTGCTCTGGTTTATAGTGGGTACCTAGACAAATGCGTAATATTAGGTCTGTTCGCACCACTGATCTAAAAAATAAATGGATAAACAATTCATACACGGCTTGATTGGCAAAATTTGTGCGAAAATTTGGGGTCAATATTCTACGAACAGTTGTGCAGCGGAACAGCCTAACGCCTGCTCAGTGTCTTATCTTTCGAACAACTGTTCTAAATTTTGAAATTCCTTCATTTTCATTGGTCAGATTTTGTGCACGCACAATACATGTATCTACTGCGCACGCTCATAGCTGTCCCAGTCAGTTGTTTTTGTTTAGATTTTGACTTCGTAAATTAGCAGCATTAGAAGCGTTCTTTGTGTATCCATTTATTTTTGAGATCAGTGGTTCGCACACAAATCACAAACCAGTCAGCGTGCATTTCATTGGTTGAAACTAGTTTTCTGACTGTTTCCGTCCACGAAATTCGCTCTGACTCGTTTGTGATTGCTGTGCGAACAAACCTATTCAATAAAAAAAAAATTAAATTTTCACATGCACCACTGATTTTTTTAGAATATATATTTAATTTCCTTTATTTCATTGCAAATCTGCAATGTTTTTAGGTTCAAGGATAGGAGTGCTCCTACTCAAGGGCATTTTTTTGCGACAAAGCGTTTTATGAAAATAAATCCTGGTCCAAAACTATTTTTCAAATATCATACCGATTACCCGCGTGTGGCTAAATTCGATTTTTTTTTAAATTTTTGGAATATTTTTATTTAAATCAAATCGTAAATTCATTAAGGCAACAATACAATAGGTACCTAGTACCCAAGGTTGTTTGAGAGAGGTAGGTTGCCTGGATAACTTTATGACGTCATCTGGGTCTGGGGTGCCTCAACATAATGCAAATCTCCATAAGGCACCCAAACGCTTCATCAGGTTACTCATTACCAGGCAATCTATCAACTTCAGGAACCTTGCCTAGTACCTACCTAACCAAAAACGTAAAAAAATATTAGTTCTAGTCTTGTTTTGAAAGTTTTGTTTGACAGTTTTGACATAACCGCTTGTTTCTGCAGCCAATCAGAGAATGACCGCAGCCATGCCGCCTCCTAGATTAAAAATTATTGGAGTTTTTTATACGATTTGGTGTGGGGTCATTCGGCGAGGGAGCTGTTAATTCCAAAAATAAGTTTTGAAAATAACCGCGCCCTACCGCAGCCATTGTCGCCCTTCAGAATTGAAATAGGCCTATTTAATTCATTTTTTTTAATCCGATTTTATGCGTTCGCTCAGTGGCTTATTTGCAGGAATCACAAACCAGTCAGAGTGAATTTCATTGGTTGAAACTAGTTTTCTGACTGTTTCTGACTGTTTTCAACCAATGAAATTCGCTCTGACTGGTTTTGTGATTTCTGCAGAAACAGACCTATTAACTAAGCTTTAAGCGGGGTTTTTCAATGCTTTTCCCCGCAGAAGGGCGCTGGCGCTCTACAACCCAAATCTGAGCAAACAACCACCAATATCCTCAGACAGGTCACTGTGGTGATCTAGGGCGCGCCATTCGCGGTATTCACCATCGACTCTAGGGTCACAAAAGCGACGCATAAGGGAGACCAGGAAGCGTCGAAGATAGGTATCCTACAAAAATAGGCACAGGGACTCGATAGGTCAACAACACCGACCTGGGGCTGGAGATCGCGCACTGTACGCTAGGCGTACAAGTGTGCGGCGGCGTGCTGCGTCACGCCGTAAGTTTAGCCATAAGTAGTCTTTGTCCTAGGTTTAGTAAATGTCTGTAAATATTTAAGTTAAGGGGTTCCAGCCCGGTTAGCTTTAGGTATTTATTGTACATAGATAATTATTTAAATAAAGATGTTTGAGTTGAGTATTAACTAAGTCGTCAACGTTAGCGTCAGCGGTCGTGGTTTAGAATTTAAATTTATGATGAAAAGTATTATTCCATTTTGATTAACATAATAGGCAAATGGAAGATGCAAAGGAGATCTAAAAAATAGTTGTTTTGAGAATGTTAATTAATGTAGTAAAACCAAGTGTGCAGTGCATGAAGCCAAAGCCCGCGGAATCATAATCTGTCGTGCAAACATCCTACCTCGAGGCGCAGTGGCGGATCTAACATGAAGCAAACGACGCACTCTGCGTCGGGCCCCCAGAGCTGAGGGGCCCCCACACAGCCGGATTGTATAAAGGGACCAGTAGAAATGAATTTAAAAAAATAAACTCATAAAAATTTTAAAAAAATCGGAAATTAAATTTTGAAAGAGACGGCAACGTTGTATAACCCTAGAGAGTCCTGAGTCCTGCTGCCTTCGACGCGATGCGGCAACCGCGGACGCGAGGGACGCGTCGGCTTTACACGGCTGTTTCAGCTTTAGTCTTCCAGACTCCAGATATAATTTATGGCACCGACAGTACAGTACGGTACTACTATGTTGTATTTCTTTTTGTTTAGAAAAAAAATCACAGATTTCAAAATTTTTGCTACCATCGGAGACATTAGAAATGACTCGGGAAATGATAACACAATATATGGAACCTATTTAACACATATTCACTTATGTCAGTCAGTGACTCGTTCAGTTAGAGCACACTTCCACACTAATCCACACGCGTATCCTAAGTATGCTGTTAACTCACTTGTATCGTGAATATCTATTATTTTATTGAAATCCCCAACCAATAGCACACACGCTAAACACATATGTCCCATATTCCCCATATATATATTTTTTTCAACGTTCCCTGCGACACGTTTTGCCTTGTACTTCAAATTTCACCGCACGCCCCTGGCGACACCGCCCTCTTGTGACCTTGAACGAAAACTTTGAATTTGATCCCCATCATATTAAAGTCTGTCGTTCTCAATCTGACACTTTCCGTGTGAGGAGCGAGGGGGTGTTTCATATGGCAAAAACAGGTTTGACGTCACGTAACCATTGGCGTTCTAATGTAGAGAGCCACCAGCTCACATTCCTTTGGAGTATCAGATTAAAATCGACAGACAATACGCGAGAACATAAACATTTCCAATGGTAAAAGTTCTTGAATTTTTACAAATATCTTTTTCGTTCAACTTGTTTTCATATTGTCTCATGTTCTTGATAAACTTTAAAAATACAAATAACTTTCGCACACTCAAACCCCAACACCACGAAGAAAAATACCTAAAAAAAGCATGACAGGACAGGGCCCCAAAAAATTTTTGCGTCGGGCCCCAAATGTCCTAGGTCCGCCACTGTCGAGGCGAGAAACGACTACGTCACAATTGGTGCTATGACGTGGTGGGGAGCTTCAGATTTGTTATATACAGGCCTTACGAGGATAGGCTTGTAGTAGTAGTGTGTGTATTATCCTTGGGTGTCAACAGAAACTACAACAAAAATAATATTTAGCAGCAGCAAAAACTCCTCTTCTCACAATCCTTTAATGAATGCTACTACGCAGTTTCGGGGTCAGTCCCTAAAAGATTTCCCACACCGGCGCGATATGGCGGTAGCCATATGTCCGCTCACCGCTGCGGTCATATCGCTACCGCTACTGCCATATCGGCCAGTGTGGGGAATTCTTTGCTTGTTGAAAATCGTTTAGTCACGCTTCAAAAACTCCGTCGCATCTATGATGAATTCCCGAACTCGCCTTCCCATGTAATTTGCAAATATCTCTAGTGTTGCACCAGGCACTTCTTCTAATCGCAAAAGATGTAAGCTGTCAACAGTTTCGGTTTTATACTGCGCATGCTCACCCTAAATATAATAGCCGTAAAAAAACATGCGCCTTCAAAGTTTTTATTCTGTCCGACTTCTCCATCATCTAATATCAGTCTTTTGGGACATTGATAAATCAGAAGGTATTAAAAAAAAACAATTTTTGTTCAGCCTGACTGAGGAATGATACCAGTAGCCCAAGAAATTTATACCTGGGCCGCAAAAAATTTGGCGAGGGCAGGCTGATTTTTCCAGAGCTGATTGGGGAGTGTGTCCTGAGTATTGAGCCAAAAAATCACACGCGAAAGCCTTGTGCCTTCGGCCCTATTGGCCTTTTTCTTATTTATTTTTTTTCGTCGACAAAATGACCTTTACAAAACTTGTAGATAATTACATTCTTATCAACTTTGCCTCATTACTTTTTTTGCTAGCTATTTTACTTTAGGCGCTGTGGGCATTTTAGTGCTTCAGAATTCGCAATAGCTATTTGTGTATTAAGAGCGCAAAGTGGTACTTAGCCGATCGAAAGATATTGTTGATATTGGCAAATGCACACTTGATTTTTTTTACAATCGCATTTGATAAAAAATAGTTCAGGCTCAAAGAAACCAGTATGCTGCTCTAGAGCGACAAAGTGAAGGATTTTGACATAGTTTGACGCTCTAAAGCGGCAAAGTGGAGGTCATCAGGAAACGTCTACTTTGCGAGCACAAATCTAATCGACAAAGTCTACTTTCTAGGCCGATTGTAGAAAAAAAAACATTTTGTCACTTTTCAAACAGGTAACAGGTCCCAGTATTGTCAAAAAAAAAAACATCATTTCGATTTCACGCTTTCACTCTGGGAAAATAATTTCACCGGATTAGTGATGTAATGTATCATTTCTTGGACTGAAACCGAAAACGTAATGGAGTACATTACCAGTAATTTTATTAAAGTTACAATAATCTGCAGGTTTGCTATTTAATTTTTTTGCGAATTCTGAAGCACTAAAATGGCCGCAACGCCTTAACTAAAATAGCTAGCAAAAAAAGGCATGAGGCAAAGTTGATCAGAATGTTATTATCTACAAGTTTTGTTTTGTCGAAAAAAAAAAAAAAAAGGCCAATAGGGCCGAACACACAAGGCTTTCGAGTGTGATTTTTTGGCTCAATACTCAGGACACAGTCTCCAATCAGCCCTGAAAAAATCAGCCTGCCCTCGCAAATTTTTTTGAAAAACCCATACATTTCTTGGGCAAGAGGATCTTGAAAAGCAAAAAAATGAAAAACAAGGCGAGTTTTTCGTTACAAAAAATATTATATGCAGAAATAAATAAAATACACATATTTGTACATGAAATAGTTTATTATACATATATCTATAGTATCTACATCTGAATGTTTTCCGTCTTTGTCATATTGTCAATTTTTGACAAGAAGGCACGAACTCTTTAATTAGTATCACAACAAATAAATAAATAGGTATTTAAAAATGCTTTCTAAAGTGGACAATTACTCAAAAATTGAAAATTATATGAAATACATACTTATACAAAACTACTTAAGAATTAAAAAAAAAAAAAAAACAAACATTATTATAGGTGCTGTTTCCTTATTATGGTAATAAACATACGAATAAGTTAGTTTATCTAAATACAAGGAGGAAAAACACTGCTAACATTGGTTATGAAGAATACCAACTAGAATAACCAATCTTAAAATTTTCTACTGAAATAAATAATATTAAGTACCTCATACAAATTATAATAAAAAAATGTTAGTGTAACATTTTTAACGCACAATAGAAAAGTAAACTTCCCTACTAAAAATCTCCCTCTCTGAAGTCATTAAATTTAAGCGTTACGCTTCCTATAAGAAGTTTATACTATACTTCAATATTCTATGATATAAAAAGACTTAGATTTTCATAAAATATTTCATTATCGCGACATATTATGTTCCAAAACAAGTGTTTTAATAAAGTATAATGAATTTTCGTCAAGTAACGTCTAACTGGCTAGAGCATAAAATATTTTTGATGATTTTAATGTGGACAGATTTGTATGTAATGGAGTTTTGATTAAAAACAAAATTATTCATTGAAGAAAAAGAAGGCGTATCTGTCATCAGAAAAAAAAAAATGGATTAGTCCAGTTTGGCTAGCGCATAATACATAATTTTAGTGATTCCATAATGTGTAATGCATAATAATATAACAGAAAAAAGTGGTTTATGCGTGCCTAACTTTTGCTGTTGTTGACTTGGTGTGAGTGGAGGTGGCGAGAAAAAATACTGACAGTTGCTGTTGACAGAAAAATGAGAAATTTTCCAGAAAATCCGAATGTCTTATCTAACCCCTAATAAAAAACGACATAGCCACACTTGACCTTACGCATCTCCGGCGTTGGAGAACATAAACCATGATGATAGTATCAATTTATAAGGTAGCAATGAAACAAAAAAGTAGAACATTAAAAGTATAAATACAAATCTTTTAAGTACAAATAATAATTTTTGGTAATAAGTCTCCTGAATCAAGGTCACATATACAGGGTGTCCCACCAAAAAAAAAACGATCTATATATGAAAAACTGTATACAGGAAAATTATGAAAACTTGACAGTATGCCAATATCAATGGGGGCAACCCGGCTGGAATATTTTCAAGATGGTGGCACTTCCGATTATACCAGAATTAGACGTCAACTTGCTTATTTTTAATGAGGCACCCTATACATTATTGCATTTTTGGTTTCTACTCCAGATTCGAAATAGATGCCGTGTATAATTCAATTCAATTCTTTATTGTGTTCCAATAATGAGACAATTAGTGCACTTAAAAGTGAAACAAAATTATGAAAATTTAAATAATAATGTCTTATACCTAAGTCCAAGCATTTTTGACATACCTATTCAATTTTTAATGTTAAAAATTACATTCGCAGGCACTAAAATAATTATGAATTTTTCTTATAAGAAATATTTCATCACATATTTGATTTGGGTTGGATTCCTTGTTGACAAGGACTTACATCAAAAGGGTAATAACTGGCCGACCAATGGGATTACAGGTCTTGCCAACCCAAATCAAATATGTAATCTAATCTCTTAGAATCTTTAGCAACCAAAAATAAAATAATATATAGGGTGTTTCATTTAAAATGAGCATGTTGCAGTCTACTTCTGGTAGGTATAACCGGAAGTGCAACCATCTTGAAAATATATTAGCCGGGATGCCCCCATTGGCATTAGTATACTGTCAAATTTTAAACAAAATTCTGTACACAATTTTTCATGTATAGATCGATTTGGTTTCCGTTGGGACACCCTGTTTATTGTATTCCAAAAGAACATCTACAAATGTATGCCTTTCAAAATAGGAAGAATTGCGGTTTCACACCATAATAAAGAGATTTTCTGAATTGTTCCATAAGTCTAAGCGCTGCTTGATTGTTTATCATATTGAATATGGTTTAATATTAATTTCATTCTATGAAAGTAGAAGAATTCTTTTTAACTACTTAAACAATAATTAAGATTTTATTGAAATCTATGGAGTAATTATTCAAGACCTGTTAAAGCAATTAAATAAAATTCTATAACTAAAAACTAGATAGAAAATAAACAATGCATAACTATGATATATCTTCTTTGGCAAAATTAAATAAATCCATTGATAAAATTGTTAATACAGTAGTGTAAAATGGTGATGGCGAAAATGTTAAAATAATTCGAAAATAACAAAATAACGCCTGGAATAACGCACTGCCATATTGGTACAGCCACGAATTTGGTCAACCCGGAGGTTACAAGTAAATTAAAGTAACATCATTTAATTTAAGATTCAAATTTTGCTATCAACCTATTAACTCAGAATAATTATTGATTTGCCATTCTCTCTTGACTATAATAAGTACCTACTAACAGGAACACATTAGTACACATTTACATTTAAAATTAAAAAAATTGCCAACTCATTGCACAATATTAAGAAAAAATTGCCATGTTAAAAAATAAATAAAATCTAGAATACCTAAAATAAATTTACAATACAGTTATTATTATCCTAATTACCTTCAAAAGATTCCAAAAATACACTCTTCGTATTGAAAATAAAATATTGGCATATGCATACTGCACTTACATTTCTCTGACTAATTTTTTTTTTAAGTAGATCACAAATTTGTCAATAACTCTGTATCATTTGCAAAATTCCTCTAGCTCACTTTTGATGGTGCGGCTGCTGTTAACACTATTAGGGTCCATTTTCAAAATGTATGGTATAATATTGTCTACTTGGATCTGTCCTATAAGTCCAGCAAAAAATAGTTCTTCCAATAAGGTTGGTTCTAAAGCTCTCAGAGGTGGCAGTCTTAATAACAATCTAAAAAGCAAAATGACATTCAAAAGTATTCATAGTGAATTCCCTAAACGCTCATATAAATTTAGCTGAACCCCTGTAATTTAAACATCGTGTCTCCACAAAAACAAACCCAGTTCAAACTTAAAAAAAAAGAGGTTGAACCTATGACAAACAAATAAACTGCTGGACAAATGAAACGGAACAAGCGAATTATTAGTTTAGATTTGGATTCCAATATTACGTGAACTAAAGAGGATATCAATGAGTGATTTGCGTAATATAGAGGTTGATTTTCGCAAACCGCTTATTGATATCTTTTTTAGTTCGCGTAATATTGGATTCCAAATCTAAAGTAAAAATTCGCTTGTTCCGTTTCATTTGTCCAGCAGTTTATTATATGAGAAACATTCTTTTTAAATAACATCTTGTACTAAAGGAATGGCCAGTGTAACGAATCGGTAAAATAAACGTTCATTTTGAGCATGTTGTGGTTTTAGATTTACATAATCATGTAAGAGTTACACATACCGAACCTCGTTTTCATTCTTATATGATACTAAAAAGCTTCTTCTTCTTTCACATTATTTTTCGTCTCAAACTACGCTACATTGTCCTTAAACTCAAAACAAAAATATGTCATTCAATTCCATTTTGTATCCTCATCTGAATGGCATGCTTCAGCAACTCCCAAGAGAGCGATCACTTTCATCAATAAACAGGTTCCATAGGGCGCATTAAACAAAAACTTCGTTATTTGTTCCTTCAAAAATATTTTGGATTTTTTTGCTTCATTCATATCATTTTTATACTTCAATTTCTTGAATTTGGAAATAGCCAAATTTTGTTCAACGGATATCGTGAGTTTTAGCATTCAGTACTCAGCCCTAAGACTTCCTGATGATTTTGAAGCTTCTGACATCTGAGAAAAGCCCGAGAAAAAGTATGCAAGCACGGCGTTTTCCATAATCCTCAAAACTGTTTTATAAGGACCATTTCTCAAAGGTTTAATAGGTCTGATTTTATTGAATCTTCGATTTTTCAGGCATAAGTTGACTGCAAGCTAAATTTGCTATTATTCTATGTTTATAACATCATTAGGCCAGAATAAGAAAATTTAAAGATAACCACTACTTGACAGATATTTATTGGCTGTCAGTTGTCATGAATTATTATGTTTAGCTGTGGCGATATCTAATTATGATTTCTCAAGAGCGCAGAATCCGTCCTGCCCCGTAATCGACGATATCTTTTCTACTGCTTATCTGCTGGAAAGCAAGGCGGTGGAATGAAGTTTTTGGAACAATGAGCCCAAGTTGTTTACTTTGAAATTCAAATTGAATAAGGTATTGTGAGAAAAAGATCATTAAAGTGTCGCAAACAGAGTATTCCACTTCCTTAACGCAACTGTTGCTCCCTGAAGCTATCTACATCCATAAATATAACTAGAACAGCTTGGGAGATGATAAACTCTGATAGGAATACCCAACATGGGAAAAATTCATTACCAAAGATCCACTTTTCAGATGGGGTGGAAGTGACGCGCGTAAGAAAACAAGAGCTTGCTCAAAGTATCTAAAGCTTGATAGATTAAAACTCCCTGCAAATAATGTAGCACACATTTTAAGTCCTAACCCTTAGGACAAAATTTGAAAGACTGGCAAGTTCTTTTATCTCTCTAGTAAGAGCAAATAAATAAATTAGGAAACTTACCTAGCAAATCTATCTCTATCCCCAAGAGAATTGCTAGTAACATAGCTCTGTAGGGCTTGGAAACTTTTCTCCTGCAACTTTTCAACTGGAGTTTTCAATAGTCCATCAATTTGGTCTGTGCTAAATAATGTTATTGCTTTCAGATAGGCGTATTCTTCCTCATCAACTTGTAATTTATTCATGGAAGTTACAAAATTTTGCAACTTTACAATATGATCTGTTACTTGATTTACTTTGGAAGCGGACATTTTATCTTGTGCAATTGAACCATGTAGGTGACTGATTAGAGCTGACAATATGGTAGACAATGACAGAGATTGAGAACATTGGGCTAAACCCAAAGTGAAAAGTTCTGCCCAACAATTTTTTAAAAGATTTACTTGGGTGTCGGAACTGTAAATATAAAATTTGAATTATTGATTAAACTTTTGTAAACATATTGTAAAAAAAGTAGACATTTATTTACCTCAAATACTTGAATGCAGGTATATTTTTGGCCCAATGAATGGACAAAACCAATAAACGAGATCCGCTTTCACAAATATAGTGAATATGTAGGCATGGCGGCACAGGACCAGGAATTTGTAAGTTAAAAGACATATGTTGTTCTTGTAAAATGGGTCCATCATAATCATAACAGCTGTCCTCACTGGCAATATTTGTAATATCCGACCCATTTAGACACTGAACTCTTGCCATTGTGTCTAATGCTTTTGAGATAAGTTGTTTATCTCGTGCTACATTCAAAGCATCTAAAAGTTCATTTCCTGTATTGGTACTATCCATTGACACTTCATCGTCTACACTTTGTTGCGATGGCGAAAGGTGAAATGTTTCGGAACTATTATTAGCTACAAAAAATTGACCAACATTAATTTTTGTCCCAAAGTAAGCTTGAATGGTGCCTCACAACATTAGAAAAAAAAAATAGTAATAACTTGACAATTTGTCATTTGAAGGAAATATACAAAAAAACTTACTTATTCTTTTGCTCAAAAATTGTAGCCCCAAATCGCACTGGTTGAACGGATTATTAATAAATCCTGCATCTGTGTTGAGATCCTTCCTAATATAAATTCCTTTCACAGGATTTACATTGGAAGAGTTGAAATTGGTTTGGGAATTATTTGAATACTCTTTTTTTTCAAGTATAGGTTTTCTTTCATGCTGTACCGCTGGAATAAATACTTATACTAAATTATTAAATACAAACTTTAATTATTGAAACATAACAAAATATTGACATGTATTATACAGGGTGTTCATTTTAAAACATACCACCCCTATTATCTCAGAGTGAAAATTTTTCGGAAGAATCCCTGAAACATGTCAACTATAATTTGAAGGAGGCTGAGTTTTTATGCAAAATTCACCTTCCCCCTCTCAACCCCCTAACCACAAGAGCCACCCCCTAGAAAATCTTGAATGAGTCAAGTGATACATCATTTTGGAGGGTTTTTAATTCCATACATTTTGGTACTAAATTTTAATCCCCAAGTTCAACTGTTTTGGAAATATTGACAGCTGAAAATTGACTTTTTTGCTACTTTGACAGGCTGTAAAACCTAAACGGTTAATTTTAGAGGAAAACCGATCTTACATTATTGTCTTAGATTTTTATAAACTATCATTAGGTATTTGACAGCAACTTTGAATTAAATCCATTATCAAAAATTCCGCTGTTAAGTTAGTCATAGTCGACTTGTTCCTGAAAAAGCTATGTTGTTCATATTAGCTGCGTTCGTTTCTTGCTCGGAGTGCGGAGCGTGTGGAGCTTGAGCAGAGGTCAGCTGATCATTAGGTAAACCAAGCATAGACTCAGGAAGCTTCAGAGAGAATAAACGAACAATTTCGAGCACACGGTGCGCACAGATCAAATAAACGAACACAACTATTCATGGCTAATAACATCTTTACATTGCCAAGTAATTTGTTTGGTAACCAGACAATCAAACAATTTTGGTATGGCAGAATGTTTAAATATGCCTGATAATTTTTGATGTTATTTTTTCTACCACTCCTGCGAGGCTCAGTTCTTAAACCAATCCTATTTCTTCTATACAGTGTGATTTTTTAAGTGTGCAACATATGGGGATTTTTTTTAGTGATAGCACAACCCAAATACAAACAAGGCCAAAAGTTGGTGCATGTCTGATAATCATATTAGGTGCACTTAGAATGGTTGTAAGTCCACCAGCATACAGGGTAGCTCAAAGAATATCAAAGCTGGTACTGTAAAGTACCCTTATTTTAGAAAATTCAGCAAAATGTTATAGAGAAAAGTTGTTTGGAATTAAAAGTTATGCCTAAATACCAAAACATGGCCTCCTAAGATTTTTTTTATTTTCTTTCGAAAAAAATCTATAATTTCTATATTTTTTTTTTTTTTTTTATTTCCGCCCTTAAGACTTTCAAAAATTAATTAAAATCAAATCAATTTTACATAACTTTGTACAAATTCAAGCATATTTGTAAAATTAACTTAGATTTTTAATTTTTTATGGAATCACAAAATTCATGTTTGTTGCAATGATATTCAACACAACTTTAAAATGTCGCAATTTTTTTTTTAACAAGTTAAAACATTACTAATGATAATAGCCATATTAAAAAAACTCTCCTTAAAGTGCAAAAGTTTTATTTTATTCAAGTAAGTATTAGTAGAATTTTGATATTTTTTGAGCCACCCTGTATGCTGTTTGACTTGCAACCATTCTAAGTGCACCTATCTTATCAGACATGCACCAACTTTTGGCCTTGTTTGTATTTTGATTGTGCTATTACTAAAAAAAAATCCCATATGTTGCACACTTAAGTAATGACACTGTATATCAATGATATCCTGTTCATCAATATATCTGGAGAATTTGCAGCATTCGCGGACGATGCGACTGTGCTATGGCACAGCTGATCAGAATAATATCCCATGTTCTAAACAGTATCAAAAGGTGGTGCAATGCAAATGGACTACTTTTCAACTTCAGCAAAACCCGCAAATACTCGCATTTCGATGTAACATCGAACACATTGTATGTGACAAATTTTCCATTAAAAGCTCGAAATATACAAAGTTTCTTGGACTCAACTTAGATGTTGATTTTAAATTCCAATCCCATATAATAGGTCTGTTCCAAGAACAGACCTAATACCTCTTCAGGCTGCTACTGCATACTATCAGTTTCATATACCTTGGGGTCCGCCATAGCAAAATTAGTATATTTCGCTGTGATATAATCGCACCTAACTTATGGCCTGCCATTTTGGGGATGTTGCAGCCGAGGGGGTAACAACTGGTGGCAATACATGTACAAATTGTATAGCATTACAACACATTACTTGCGCATTACGACACATTACTGGAATTAACTGGAATTATGGTGGCATTATCGGTATTACCAGGAATTACGCTGGCATTACAAGGCATTACTACGAATATGGCGGAATTACGCTTGCATTCAATGGAATTATGGTTGATCTAGCGGTTGATTTTTAAGGTTTTAATGTACATACATACATACAATAATTGTATATAATCAAATTTTCCAAACATCCACTGGAAAATCATATTCATATTACTTACTCCAATATTTAAAATAATTTTGGGAAAGTTTGTGTATCTATAAAATTAAAATTATTTCCAGCTTCATAAAGGGTGAATAAAAAAAAAGTTACAGTAAAATATGTATTTGTTTTAAACGGGACACCCTATATATTATTATCATTTTTGGATTCTACTCAATGTGCTTTATCTAAATTCGACTGTTTTTAAGCTAGAAACAATTGAAGCTTTCTTCGGGTTCGAAAAAAGGACGGTTCTAGAACGGTTCAAAACAGTCGCACAGTTTATTATTGAAATTTGTGATAGCCGTCATTTTGTTGATTGATAGACTATGCGATTGTTCAGAACCGTCCTTTTTTCGAATCCAAACAAAGGTATGATCTAAAACTTTCATATATAGCCTCACAACAATAATGACGTACAATCTGTAGACAAGACTTACATCTCGACTTACATTTTTTATGGACCAATAAGGGCAGGAATTATAAAGCTGGTGAACCGAAGATGATTGATTTTAAGGCCGGTATTATAAAGCTGGGGAACCGAAGGTTGAGTTTCAACCAGCGGTTGAACTGAAATATCCTCGGAAATATCCATATAAAATCATACGGAAATATCCGTTCGACCGCTGGTTGAAACTCAACCTTCGGTTCCCCAGCTTTATAAAACCGGCCCTAAAATCATTGGATCAGAACCATTTCAACTCTTGAGACAGGGCCAATGTAAAACTCTACCAAAATGGAAGACAATAGGTATTTAACAAGTTGAAATGGTCTTTGCTGGGGTTTTGGTAAAATAGATTACGAGAAAAATTCACCATTTTATTCAGATTTTGGACCGGTTTATTTGTTTTTCTCCGAATGACAGTAAAAGTGGATTTTTAGTGCCTAGGCATTAAAAGTGACAGTATCACATCATCCCAGGTAATAATTTCACTCAATTTGGTATTTGAAATTGATGGTGACAATGACAATTGTCAAAATAATTCAATTATTTGGATAATAATAATGAATGAAATAAATATAAAAAGGATGTCCATGTGTAAATTTGAACATTCGGAGAAAAAATTATATGTTTTACGTGGCAGAAAAGCAATTTAATGCCTCGGCTGGTTTCCGAGCCTCGGCTATGAAACACCAGCCGCGGCATTAAATCTTGTACTTTTCTGCCTAGTAAAACAAATAACTATATTTACCTTCTGATAGACTGTCAGGTAGGCAATCTGACAGAAGAAAACGTAGTCTGTAATCCCATTGTTCGGCCAGTTATCGGCTGACCAATAGAATTATAGAACAGTGAATTTATCTTGCAGATAGTTACCAGCAAGTTTATCTGAAGATAAATAACCAGAGCCTCAGAAAAATAACTATCTATAGAATAATAATAAATATATACAAATTATAGGATGTGATGTTTGTTTTCAACTATGTATAATGGTTTGTTTTTCTGATCGGTTTATGTAAGACTGTGAAACTAAATATTTCATATAGCCTAGGTATGCATAATTATAATGGCATTACATAAAATTAAAATTACATGGCATTATAAGGTAATTACTGGCATTACATTGGAATTACTGGAATTACTTATGTAATGCGCAATACATGTACAAATTTTGGTCCAGTTATTACCCCCTCGGTTGCAGCCAGTATCTTTTTCAATTGGTGTTTAAACTACAAAAACGGGCAATCCGATTTATTGCTCACGTTTCACCATGGTAACACTGTAAGCCACTCTTTGTTAATTATAAAATTCTCACTCTTCCATGTCTTTTTATTCTCGAGTCAGTCAGCCTCATTCATAAGAATATCTTTTGTTTCCCTGCACACCAAACAGTAAATCAGACGAGGCAAAGTCATCATCTACCACTAGTATGAAACTTTATAATCACCTTCCAGCAACTTTAAAAGATATATCAGATATCACTTTATTTCAAAAACAGTTAAAAATTATCCTACTTGCCCAAGCTTTCTATATGTTCAATGAATTTCTGGACTATATACTTATTTTAAGGGCTGATACTTTTGCTCTCGATCAACGAATTTCATATGTCGTCAAAGTTTTGCATGGGACAAGATCTATAAGTATGATGTGGTTACAGCACATTCAAACCCCTGATTATTTTTAATGGCTGTCAAATGAGAGCAAAAGTACTGGCACTTAACCTGATAAATTTAACCAGCTTTTGCAGCCTAGAATTATCCTAGGCATGACACTGTCCTGGCTCTTGTGTTTACTTTATTTTCTTTTCATTGTACTGTTTTTTTAAATTTTGTCTTATTTCTTAGTGTTTCTGTCAATTTTCAACCCCCCAGTTATCTAGTTCATTGAATGTTTTAAGCATTTTTAGGTTTTTGATACTTGTTAATTCAATTCTTTTAACAAATTTTAAAGCAGAATCATAGATTTTAACATTTTGCAACAGTGTTCTTGTATCGTTTCTTCGTTTTGGTATTTTATGACATCATTTCATTTATGGTTTATGCTTTATTTCTTAATTGTTAAAAACTAAAAATATGTGTATTTACAGTTACAAGCACTATAGTTAGGTACCTTAGATTTAAGGTTTAGCTTTGTCCATAAGGATTACTGTATCTTTTGGCAATTTAAGCATGCTTACTACTACTACACTGGTTCCTATACAAAAAAAAAAACAAAAATTTTTTGTGCTACTTACAATCGCTTCTCATTCCACAGGCAAGGCATTTTTGTAGCCTACAATATTGGCAACGATTCCTGTGATGTTTGGTGACCTCACAGTTTTTGCTTCCTCTACATTGATATCCAAGTTGTTTACGAATCGACCTTTTAAAAAATCCTTTGCAGCCTTCACAGGAAATAGCCCCATAGTGTCTTCCTGATGCTCGATCACCACAAACAACACAAAGCTCGATGGTCAGACACATATTGTTGGCATTTGATCTATTTTTATCACTCAACATTTCAGATTTAAGGTTTTGCATTTCTGTTTTCAAATTTTGTTCCATCTTCATTACATTACAAAACTGCAAACAATATTTTCACAGTTTTCAAAAATATACAAATAAACAATGATTAATTAAAATCGACCATTTCAATAACTGAATTTTATTGCACTGTACTTTACGGGGTCCATGACCTTACACCTGCTACCAACTTGAAACTAGGAACCAACCAACCAACAAAAATGAAAGGAAATTTAGGAATAGGAATGAGGATTGGATTGAGGTATGGTCAGAAATAGTCGGAATGAAAAAGGAAAGGAAAACAAGAGAAAGGCAAATGTCAGGATAGACAGGAGGCCCTTTCCTTGGGGCGTGTTCATAAGTCACACCGGGAGCGGAGTGTACGTCATACATGGGCCGGTTTCTCAAGAGTTGTATTCCTTTCAAGAGCTTGAAACCTCGAGTACTCGCTCCGGTGTTTAGTCGCCCCCGATTTGCAGGGAACAGATGCGTGGTGCAACAAACACTTTTCGAAAGGAATAAGCGCGTGAAGCCCCCCGGAGCTGTTCCGGAGCACCTCCCACGTGTGAAAGGAATACAAGTAATAGCAGGTTACCTCCGTGTTAAGCTACTACTAAGCTAACTCCAGGGTAAATAAACATTGCAATTTGACACGTTAAGTTAGCCCTGGGGTGCGTTCAAGGACGGCAATGCTAATGCCAAAACCTACTTTTCCCCCTCCACCTGTAATGCCGAACCACGAGGTTGGAGCCGAACTCGAACGCAAAATGCCAATTTTGGCTTGGCTATAGCCATTCCTGAACGCAGCCCTGGAATTAAAACCAACCCGAAGATGACTCGCTATTGAGAAACCGGCCCACAATCGATGGTTATATTTTGTGTGTGCGTTTAGAGCGTTGTCAATCTAAGCTGGGTTCGGCTATTCAGCGCGGAGTTGGAGTGGAGTGAACAGAGCTAATGGAGTCACCCCTAACACGGTAAAAGCAATACCCGAAAAGCTGGACTGCGAATGGAGTCACTCGGAGTGCACTGAGTGAGCAAACCGAACCCACCTCTACATTACAGTGACTCTATTTTATTACCACAGTGGCGACAATTGCAGTCTTCTTTTTGATTGGTTCTTCAAAATCCTATATATTTATATGTAAAACGCCGCCATCTTGTGCCCAACCTCTTGCTACTCTTAAATATGAATATATACCTACCTTGCGTTCGGTATTTTGCTCAAAGAGCAGAGCGTGCTGAGCGGAGCCGTAATCACGTGACCAGCGAGCGAACAGAGCAGTTGAACGCTGTATAAAAATGCAATGAGGCTGCACCGAGTACACTTTTTAAATAAACGAACGGTAAAGTCAAGCTCGGAGAACTCAGACCAAAATAACGAACGCACGGATAGTATCCGATGACTATAATTAGGCCCATCAAATACGTTGTTTTCAATTTCTTATGATGGATGTTTATTTAAATCCTATATATTCATATTTAAAAGTAGCAAGAAGTTGGGCACAAAATGGTGGCGGGACCTCTATTGTCGCCACTAGTTGTAATTAGACTCAACTCTAAAACTTCAATCGTTACCATAAAATTCAACTGACCAACTTCAAAAAGTTCTTTGGAAGCTTTATATTTCCGTATATTGTCAGAACCTCTCCATAAAAGTAATTTCTCCTGGCGGGAATCGTACGCTCTTAGCTCAAAGTCAAAAAATGCTTTATATCTAGCTCCGCCTTCTGCATCTAAAGTGCCATAAAGCCACGTTTGTGCTGTAACCATGAAATTCAATTAATCTCGTTTAGACCGTTTTTTGTCAATGAAGTTACTTATAGTTTGTTTCATCGTTTTTTTTTTTTGTGCTTGACTTGTCTCAATGTTGGGTCGTCAAGGTCAAGTCAGCAATACAGAGTTTGATTTATGAGAAAAGGCATGAATTTGTACGATTTTATTAAAGGACCCCGCACATTTCTTATGGAAAAGTGATCTATGTGGAATTTTGCTGAATTTTTGATATTGTGTATAGGGAGTCGTCCTTAACAAAAGTAATCATTGCGCTAATGTTCAATACCCATCAGTTTTGAAGATATCAATTAAAAACTTTTTTAATTTGATACTCTTCAGTATGACGTCACCAGTATGCTCACAGCACCGAAAATTAAAACTATCCTTTTCACTTTTAACTTTGACTACCTATACTTATACTCTTCTCCTTTTAACATTTAGGAAATAAAAAAAAACAACAACAGGTACAAATGAAATCGCTATATGACAGACATCATGACATGAAGTTGACGATTGCGGTAAGAGCTAGGTGTTGTTTGCATACCTACCTATTTGTCACTAATCGCTATCGCTATCTTTTTTTTTTTTCCTAATGTTAAAAGGAGAAGAGTAAAGTCAAAGTCAAAAGTGGAAAGGATAGTAATAATTTTCATTGCTGTGAGTGACGTCATACTGAAGAGTATTATTAAAAAAGTTTTTAATTAAAATCTTGAAAACTGTTGAGTATTGAACATTAGCGCAATGATCACTTTTGTTAAGGACGACTCCCTATACACAATATCAAAAATTCAGCAAAATTCCACATAGATCACTTTTCCATAAGAAATGTGCGGGGTCCACTCATCACTTATCGAAACGTAGGTACACAACAAATCTCGACTTAAAACTAAAATCAAACATTATTACTACGCGCCATTTTTAGTCGAAACCGCATTCCGGATCTTTTACAACAAAACTTTTACAAAAGTAATTTCTCAGAATGCTGGCTGGGTTGTCGATGCTGATGCATTTTCGTAACATTATTTAATTTCATAATCGATCGAGTTCTGATAATTTTAGTCGCCATCTACCGAACTAATTTCGAACTGGGTTCTTTAACATTAGATAACCATTGTAAAGGTTTGTGTGATCTGAATTATAAATTTTCTACCAAAAAGTTATGGTCCAAAATATTCAGTTGTCCAAACTATTGCTAACAGTTCTTTTTCTGTTGTTCGGTGCAGCACAAGCATTTGCTGCACCGATGAGCGATGACCCCGAGACATTGTACGTTTTTACATTGGATTTATGCGGCACAAGTCCACCCGCGGTATTTACTTATGTCGCACGTCGCATGTTTGATGTTTCATTGGCATACGACCGCACTTACGGTTGCCTTATGCGTTGTAACCTGAAAGATTTAGTTGCGGCAAAGTTTCGGCCGTGTCCACTTGATATGGCATTGAAGACCGATGGCGCGTCCGTTTCAACGGAGCTAAATCCGCTGGCAGAACCGGAGGTGGGGTAGTTAAGGTCTATAGGGACCTTGCGACGACCATGGTGGGCTGACTACTAGACGGGGTGGCGCCGATGGGGGATTTTTGGGGCATTCCCCAAACTCGCGTACAGGGGCCCGATTCTCGTCTCAGGGAGTAGAGCTCCCCGAGAGAACAAATTTTTCGTCTTTATCATTCTCGTTTACTTTTTGATTACGTTTACAGGGACAAAACATGCGTTCTATTGGGAAGCTCCTACTACCTGAGACGAGAATTGGGCCCCAGGGTCCTTATTCAAACAGGGGAACAGGGTTTCCAGGAGAACGAGTGTTCCGTATTTGTAACTTATTATTGGCATAGCATTGAGAGAGACGGAACACTCGTTCTATTGGGAACGCTGCGCCCCTATTTCAAGAATAAGGACACAGGGACTTCATTCTCGCAACCGAGGAACACCGTTCTCATGAGAACGATTGCTCTGTCATTGTCAGTGTTATGGAAATATGAATACGGATGACGAAGACAGAGCCTTCGTTCTCATGAGAACGCTGCTCCCCTGTTTCGAGAATCAAGTCCCTGGGCTGGAACTCGGTAACGAATAGAGATACTTTATCTCTATTAACGTCTCCTCTCTATTGATTTCGACAAGAAAGGAGAAGACAGCAAGTGCCATAGCGATAGGGATAACGATCCTTATCTGTTACAGAGTTCCAGCCCTGGGGGCCGATTCTCGAGCCAGGGACTAGAGCTCCCGAGAGAACAAATTTTTCTCTCTATCATTCTCGTTCACTTTTCGATTACATTGACAAGGACAAAAAATTCGTTCTCTCGGGGAGCTCTACTCCCTGGGGACGAGAATCGGGCCCCAGGGTCCTTATTCTTTTAACAGGGTAGTAGCGTTCCCAGAAGAACGAGTGTTTTGTCTCTGTTACTTATATTATCATTTACATAATATCATTGGGAAAGACGGAACACTCGTTCTTCTGGGAACGCTGCTCCCCTGTTTCAAGGATAAGGACCCTGGTGTCGTACCACCTTCCTCGCCATATTCACGAGAGTTGCTCGATCCTCTAACTCAGGAATTCAGGTGAGGTAGCGGAAGAATGCCGGTAACCCGCGTTCCATTATACATATAAAAAATAATTCACTTCTTTTTTTCACAACTTACGCCCTTAGTGGTTTCTCTCAGAATGCCTTTTTTATGCAATCAGTGGTGTCCATTTGGAAGGTAATAATATCCTTCTATTTATTTATATATTAGTTGTTTTTTTTATCTCTGGAGCTATATGTTTAATAAGGTCGTTATAATAAGGTCGTACGGTACTTCTGTCTCTAGCCGGACATATACAACCAAATTTATTGGACTTTGTTCATTCGTCACCCGTAAACTTCGATATTTATGTTCCATTTTCCATTGGTTGGGTCGAGATTTTTACCTTCACCACAGATTACCTACATACAGATGCGAAAGAGCAGCGAATTCGTGGTTCAAGATTAATTTGATAGACATAGGCTGGCCGCACCAATGCCGCATCAATGTATTTTGAACAACAAAAAAATATTCTTTTCTACCCGCAAAAATGTGTAAACACACAGGCTGGAACATGCTCACGCACTTGGCCACGTTAATTGTCCTGACGCGGGCGATCTGTATCTATGCGTCGGAGCGCTGGCTCCCCGGCTTCGTCACAGAATATCGTCGACGGCAAGTATACATACTTACGCATCTGTATTAGGTGATCTGTGCCTTCACAATGAATTACTTATTTTTTCAAAAATAAAAACCATACATTTTTCAAAGGGTATTGATTATGTCTTCGAGCCGGTACCACAATAATTTAATAACTAATAGGTTTTCTTCTATGCATCTAAATTAGGTCCTTTGAATCACATCCTTGCCTGGACTTCTAATAACTTTATCTTCTTGAAGTACAATAGCTCTATTGAATTCCTAATTGATGATGTCAGAACTCTGTCTTTTGATTAACCAAGTCGTTGGCATGATGCTGGTTGCGGTAATGAGCTCGGAGGGTTGGACATCTTTTACGTTGCTCAGTTCTCCTCAAGTTAAATTTAATGAAACTAAATAAATAATAATTATTAATTATTGCCCGATTTTTTCACATGTCGAGTACCTATTATTATCATATTGTATAATAAATGAATAGAGATGTATCAATGAACGTCAATATCTAGTCTATTTTTAAAAGAACTGACTAGGTGCACACACAGTATCCTTGTGCGGGCGACGCCGACTGTAAACAACTATGTTGGAGATGAAGTAGATAGTATTTTTCTTTCTCAAGTTTTTTCGAGTGACCTCGTAATTTTTCGGTAACATTAATTTGAGAAAGATATAAGTCAATTAGTCTATATCCGGACTATAGTATCCAGTAAGAATCTTGTAGTTCGTTCCAGGTTGTCGAAAGATTTTTAGGCAATCAGGACATGGTACATTCTTAGTGGCTTCAGGAATTTTGCTTAGTCTTCAGAAGAACTATATCGTTGTAAAAGGGACTGCATGCACACTGTTTTCATACTCAAGTTTATGTATAGGTTTTACAACGTTCGGAAATCATATCAACAGAAGTATCCAAGAAGGTCTTTTCAATAAGATAAATATGTTAATGTATTAGATTTTCTGACTTCGCTTCCAATATGAGGTTCCCACTGCAGTTCAAGAAAAAAAAAATTAAAAACACACCCAAGAAAAAACAGTTTGAAACATCTATTTTCAATGAAGCAAAAAGAAACAATAAATCGCACAGTTAAAACTAATTAAACTATCGATATCAAACAATATTATACAATCGCAATCACCGAATGAATTTCAGAGGACCCACCCGCTCAATGCCTTCAATGTTATCAAAATTGTAAGCAATAAAGCGTGTGATCAGCAAGAAGTTCCGTTTTCGAGTAAACGAAATAAGTCACGCAATTAAAAAAAAATAAAATACTAGAACTAATTATTAAACTATTATTATAAAACAATATAGAACGTCATCAAACGAATTTCAGAGCACCCACCTGCTCGTTTGGGTAGCCTTCAATGTGATCGAAATCATAAGCAAAAAAATGTGTGATCAGCAAAGATTGTAGTTTTTGCTCGAACGTCCAATTATTGGGGGGTACGGCACTCTTATCCCACACCTACGAAGAAAAAAAAGTAATAATCATTATGGAATAAGTTCAAATAATTTCAAACCTTGGTTAAATATTTCAGATCTCTGACAACTTCATTGACATGAGAATATTCTTCGTTAAGAAGTTTTCTTATGATCCCATACAAGTCCTCCTATAAAATATATAAATTATTTTAATTGCAATTTAAAAGCCGAATATCTACCGTTTCATTACGCCCCACAACAAGCATAAGGCGATTGATCAAATATTTCAAAATGTACTCTAGTCCAGTTTCGGTGATGCCAACTCCTGGAAGCTCGTAAGGGTTACCCCCTCGGCTACCCCTCGGGTTACACACACCAAGAAGTGTAGTCGAACTCTGACGACCATGTAGATCTCTCACAGGTAAATCTAAGGATTTCCGCTCTTGCTGGACCCTTGGATTTTTGCCATCTGTATAGTCGCTGAGGATATTTTCAAGGTTGTTTTCGGTGGTGGTGGACAGGTTCAGCTCCAATTGGAAATTAGCCCAGGCGTCTTGCGCTTTGCGCAAGTTTTCATCAGTATCCACACCCTCAATGCGCTGAGCGATGCACCCCGTTTTTGGAACGTTATAGTCTCCAGGGGGGAAATAGTTGTTGCCACTTATGTATCTTCGATTACAGTTTTCTTTTTTGTCGGAATCTGAAACGGTTTGATTAGCTGGGTTGCCAGTTTCTTTAACCGAAGCTACAGGCAAATGGATTATGCCTCTTGGAGTGATTATTGGGGAGTTGGTCTGAGTGGATATTGAGGAGTCGGTAAAGGGTAGTTGGTTTATAACAGTTTCTTCAGATGAGCTACTGGTTAGGTTTACCTGCAAAAAATCGGGTACTAATGGTCAGGTAATTGCCATATTTGGCCCTACACAAAACATGCTCACTTTTAGCAAATTAGGATTAATGTTAGGAGAGGCAAAAATTTTATAGCAATATCTTTATTGATAACAAGTTGTTTGACAAGTTTTTTAGGTTTTAACCAATGTGAAATCCAGAACACAGCAATCCCTGTTTGGGTATCGACCCTATATGCCATAGCAACCCTCCCTAGCCAGTCTTCCACGCGTTTCAGAAGTGCTGTGTCTGCGTCTCATAGTCGATCGATTCCCAAACAAGGACTCTTGTGTCTTGGTTTCACGTACATTAAAACCTGAAAAGACTTGTCAACAACTTGCTATCATTTAATATTATCAACAAAAGCTCAGATTAGTCGGTGTAATTCAATGCCGTTAGTGGCATTTGCGCTTGGAGTAGTTGTTTCTGAGGAATCAAGAAAGTTCAATACCTTTATTCCCCACTTAAATGCAGAAAACCTCAAATAATAATTAGCTGCGCCTATTCCTATTGTGGGGTTTGGGTCTGGTTACCCTCCAGACCTGTTTCTTTAGGTTGCACACATATTGTGTATTCTGGCAGTATCCAGAATCAATAGAAGTTCATCGTATGAATCATTAGCAGTGGGTTTTACATTTTACGTTCATACACTTGTGCTATCTGTTAGCATACAAAGAAAAAAATAAAAGGACGTCCATACACAAATGCACTAGCTATATAAATTTAAAGCTTACAATAAATAGATGGATCCAAAACCAATACTAGCTCTCACAGTATGAGAAAGGAACATCAAAACTATGGTGCTCACAAAAAAGCCAAAGATAATATTTTGACCAAACAGTTGCCACTATCATAAAGTTTTTCAAAAGGTATTTCAAAATACTTCATCCATATCAGAGATACCATACATTTATCCACAGTATAGTAGGCTTTTGCAAGAAGGTACTTCCTTATCGTTTTCGTATATTCTATGAACTGGGGATTTGGATAATCCTGACTTTCACAGACATTGTTGGATCTGTGGCGAAATAGCACAAAATAGCGTTTAAAATATTCTCATTATTAAGGAGAGGTTCATTTTTTTGCACTATTCATTTCCTTGACGGATCCAAAGTTCTTGAAAATATTCTATAATTTGTTTAACAGCATATTGTGATGCTGTCTGTTTTTACGGATATCAAATGGCAAATGTGTCACATGTTCTTGATATAACTTTAAATAATCTTCGTATGTATAATTTAAACGCCCTGACATGATTATTAGTGGTAAATGAGAGCTTCATACAAAAGTTGAGTTAAATACATCTATATGTATAAATTAAATAATTTGTGTTTTTTTATTCTTTAATTCTGTCAGCATTTTTGGAATAAAAGAACACAAATTATTTAATGTATACATATAGATGTATTAAACTCAACTTTTGTGACTGAAGAAACAATTGAACAATTGCGAAAGCTTTCACAGAAAAGAGAGTTTTTTCTTGAAATAAAAATTGGCTGTATTCCCACTATTCATTAATATGTTTACATAATATAGGAATGTTAGTTCAAATGGTTTCACTGATAATGTATGTTTGGTCGTTTTTATTCCTTTGCTCAAGGATCCAATTCATGCCCAGACACACAATGAACCAAAAAAACCACTTATAAAGTTGGAAAAATTAAACAACCCAATAAACTTTATTGCCTACTTCAAAGGTTATTGAAAAACTTGTGCATCAGCAACTTTCCTCGTTTGTTGAAGGAAACAGCATACTGCCCAATAAACAATCATGATATGGAAAATCGTTCAGTACCGGCACAGAACTGTTGAAGATTAACAAAGATATTGACCTATTTGGACAGGAATCGAATAACTATAATTATCCTTTTAGACACGTTGCATTTGATAGTATCAACATTCTACTTTTAAAGCTTTGGTGTTCAAGGTATAAAATGGTTTACGAATTACTTGTTTAACAGACACCAAAATGTCAAATTAAGAAGCGAAACTGGCCCAGCACTGTCCCAGGAGTTGCTTGTGCAGAAGAAAGTCCAACAGGGGTGAATTTTGGGTCATTTGCTGTTCCTCACAGACTTGAAACACAAAAGTATTGTTACAAAGATGACTTTGATTTGAACTTTCAAGAAATCGACAGGCAAAGATTAATACATGAACAGTCTTAAAGTTATTGTGTCTAAAACTGATGATAAAAGGTGAAAGATATTTTAGCTGCTCAGGTAAGTTTCAACGGCGAAGCAATAAGATTTGGTGGATATGTTAGAAACTTGGGTCTTGTCAAGGACAAACTGAATTCAATTATGCAATTAAGTGGCAGCTCTTAGTAGATCTTTTTTTAAAAGGTTTTTATAATATAAAAAAATATTTTACCCAAAGTGCAAAATCAAGACTTGCGATTCTTTAGTACTCTTCCAATTAGACTACTGTGAAAACATACATGACCTGTGTTTACATGCTGCAGATGCAAGAAGGCTACAAAAAATTCAAAATTCTTGTGTTTTTTTCGCATTACAAATCCCACTAGAAACCATATTTCTCCATACTTGAAAGACATTCGGTAGCTAAACAAGAATAAAAGAAGATGGGTGCATCTCTGCATTTTTATACACAAGTTAATTTCACCTAATCAACCCAGATATTTCTATGAGAAGATGGAATTCCAAGGTATGGCCCATGCAAGGGCACTAATGGCCATTTCCACCAACTATTCTAGGGAAGCCTTAGCAATAAGTATTCCCTAAAATGACATTTTTACATGGAGTAATGTCAGTTTAAGGAATACTTATTGTTAAGGCTCCCCTAAAATAGTTGGTGGAAACGGCCGTAAGACATACTACATACTCAAGTTTCTTTAACAATCCCCTTCCATAGTTTTGAGCTTTATGAAAACAGTTTTTCCTACAAAGCAGCAAACATTTATAAGCAGTTACTAGCGGATAAAAAAGCTTTAAGTTAACCAGCTTTTAGCAAATACATAGTAACCAAAACTCTTAATGGTGATTTCGCTGTATTTTAAGATTGTGATCTCTATTAAAAAAATTTAATTTTTCTTTTGTTGTCTCTCATTACTACCATATTTTTTGCAAGGTTTGTAGTCAGGGTTGGCTTACAATTTCCCCAGGTTATAAAACCCAGTGGGATTTTTTGGGGTTTTGCAATTGATAAAACCCACCATTATTAGGTTTTTAAAAATAGCAAATTTTCAGTTGAATGAGCGGCATTTTCACAGAAAATATCGGGAATTCCCCGATGATTCCCCAATCCCTGGCTGTTCGCTGTTGGCGTTTGGCGTGAAGGCCTGGGCAGAGACTCCTGTGCCATGTAGAATTCGACATATCGAATGTGCCGAGCCTATAGAATCCTGTCGATATGTAGAATTCTACATGACACGGAGTCTCTGGGCTGGCCAGCCAGAGGCGCGGTGCAGTGCATTGATGTCGAGTGTACTTATCTATATCAAGTGGCTTGCTCTATTTTGTAAGGATATTTTATTTTTGCAACAAAAGTCATAATTTTGGTAATACTTTTGCTAGAGCAGAAACTATAAATCAAATTTTGAAGAAAAAAACGAAACCCCCAGAGAAGCCCGAAAAAACCCATAAAAACCCAAAAAAACCTGATGGGTTGGACTTTTTCAAAAAAACCCGGGTTTTTTCGAACCCTGTTTGTAGTGTAGTTGATGTGTTTTTTTGTATGTTAGAGTATACCTACTTTCAAATTAACACTGTGGGCAACCAATTTCTTTGCCTCTGCTCGTAAAATTGTAAAAAACCAAACTTTTTATTTACAAAATAAACGATTTATTATTATTGAATTGAAATTCTTACCAGAGACGCCGGAGACGGTGTATTATATAATTCAGTACTTGAGCTGGGAGCGTTGAAGTTCTGGTCCAAATTGTAAAACATGTTCATCAAGTGACCAGTCATTTCCTTGGTCAGCTTCTCCCACTGGAGGTAGCAAGACCTGAATTCTGGATTCAGCATCGTTCTGATTATACCCAAGTGACAACCGGAGAATACTTTAAATAAATACAATAAATAGACAATTGAAAAAAATATTACTAAAATTACCTTCTCTGTTGTCCCAGTAGCCTCGCATCAATTTCCAGGTATCAACCAAGTGCATAAAGGCATGAATCGAGTCCCTGGTGGCCCATGGGATGCCTTTTGAGTTGATGTTGGGAATAGTTTTGTTTGGTTTGCGAATTGTTGATCTGGTTTTAGCGCACACAGTTAGCAGCTTGCGGAAGAAAGATCTGTTGCGGTGTCTGTACGCTATTTGCTCAGCAATAACGCAGCCGTGGTCCAAAAACTTCAAAAAATCCTCAGAGTCCAACAGCTCCTCGTCAAGCTGTGTGATTTGGCTCAAATTATAGCCTTCAGGGGGTAGGGGTGATTGAATGGAGCTTGGGTTGAAACACTGATACTGCACAGCCGACGGTGAATTCTGGGGCATCAAAGGTGGAAACAGGGGCCCAAAACCAAAAGTCGCGTCTTGGTAGTAAGTTGGATGATTGCCAGAAGGCTCGCCAGAAGGACCAACTCTCGGACCAGCGCCTGGCAACGTGTGGAAACCGAAATTTTCCGGGTTCGGGTTGCCTTCGGGCCGATTTAGCCTATTCATTCTGTAAAGTCAATCAGTTATTGCTAAAATTATTGCGCTTTGGGCACCTACCTTTTTTTGGGAAATTGAATTATTCTTAACTGGAACCTGCAAAACAATTAAACATAGGGCGGGTTTTTAACACTGCCAGTTCACGATTTTCGTGCGAGTTTAGCCCAAAGTTTCCTTTTAAAATGGAGGTTTTGTTGAAAGTTGGTTGCTAGGCGCAAAAAACAAGTGAAGCCTACTTTGCCACTGCAAATACCACAGACGCAAAACGACTGTTTGAGCTGTTAAAACGTTATGTGAAACTTTTTTTAGCTTTCGGTTTCGGCACTTATCTTTTTTCGGGTAACTAAATTAATTTTCAATAAGCCCTGCAAAACCGTTTTGTTGTGAGTTTCCATGGTGTTTTGTGGTTTCCACTGAACATTTGTTTTTGTTTTGTTTTTCAACTGTTTTGTTGAATTGAATATCGTTTTTTGATTGGTTGCCAGATATAATGGCGTTTTTGATAAATGACATTAGGCATTCAACCGACGTCAATAATCATTTTAGAAAAGATAACAGACAGGAGCTTTGTTTTGTTTCGAAATTCGGAACGGTTCTGGGATTGCGCACAACTGCTTGCGCACAAAAATGGGGTGCGATTTTCGAATTTATTCGAGTACATTTCGTATACGAAATTTCATTCGATTTCGAATGCTCCCACTGAATGCTCCCCATTTAATTTACATTGCTGTCAGTCATATTTCGTATACGAAATGTACTCGAATGGTTTCGAAAATCGCACCCTTGTTTCGGAACCAAAAAAACCAGAACATGCCGCAAATCACAAAATTCTGAACAATTCCTCCTTCAGTGCAAGAACTGAGAGAACCGTTCTAGAACAATCCCAGAATTGTTCTTAAATAGTTCTAGATAAATCAAAACACTCCCTGCGTTCGTTATTTTGGTCCGAGTTCTCCAAGCTTTACTTTACCGTTCGTTTATTTAAAAAGTGTACTCGGTGCATCCTCATTCGCGTTCGTTTATTAAAATTTCTGGCACTTTTATACAGCGCTCAACTGCTCTGTTCGCTCACTGGTCACGTGATTACGGCTCCGCTCAGCACGCTCTGCTCTTTGAGCAAAATACCGAACGCAAGGATAGTCAACACAGTTCGATTACGATTCTGAAAAAACGAAAACGCGTTTTATTTATGCGCATTTGCAGATTCATTCCGAACTAATTCTGATTGAGGGTATTATCCTTGGGTTCGGCCTCGGCCTACGGATTTTTCCTTGATTCTTGCGTTTTTTGAGATAAAATCGCCGAAATAGATAGCTATATAATAAAGAACAATAAAATTGGGCGTGGTCCCGAAAAAACATCTCTTTCATGAAAATGTCCCGTTTTTTTATTAGAATAATATGGCAGGCTTAACACGTTGAGTGCCACGCCACAATGGTAACAAAAAATTAGGGTCCTATGGCCACGTTAATATAAACAGATTTTTATATGTTTTTTATGTATAAATCTCCCTGTAAAAAAAAACCAGAAGTAAAATCCGCAAGCCAAACCGTTTTTGGGGTACCCCAGGCCACTATTCAAAGGCTCCCATAACAATACGTGCAAAGCCTGCATCTAACGTGGATACACACGGCCAGAAATAAAAACGTAGTTTGTATCCGCAGTGGATTCAAACCGTGAAAATTACAAAACCGGCGGCACCATGGCTAACACACAATATAAGGCTTTTAATAGCACAAAGAGACAAAGCTCTATCAAGATTTAAAAAAAATAAAAATCCGGCTACTTTCGATTTCTATAAAACAATAAAAAATCACGTGAACTGCGCCATAAAACGTGAAAAAAAAGGCTGATACTCAACCTTCCCCCTCTCCCTCCTGAAGAAAACCCTGCTCGATCTGCCACTGGCTAAGGGAGAAACAAAAATAAAATACGCGCCAAACTTACTGCTGAGGTTGTCTCTCCCCAGTCTCCCCCATTCAGAACTTGTCCCTGGCTCTATTATCCCAGCTAGCACAAAACATTGCCAGGCTTTTATGCGATGTTTTTTAAATGTGAACCAAAAAACATTTACATGTGATGTACCTTCAACGTTTTATTGAGGTTTCACATGGAATAATATTGTCTTGCGAATGTTTTAATGAAACTTTCTTTTTTAACGTGCCAGGAATGTGACGGTTACGTTACACTGCGATCCTCCATTTTATATCCCAAAGAGATATTTTATAAATGTATTTTGTTAATTTACCATGAACGTCTAAATGTAACGTCGCTTGTAACACCTATCAATATCCGGGATAGAGTTACATCCTTCAAATCACTTTGCTTTCTTTATTGGATGTTTAGAAAACGTTACAACACAATGTCATCTATAATTTTCATTCAAACATTCAGTGGAAATACTTTATAACGGATTTTTAAACATACCCGAGTTATGTTAGAATAACATTTTGGCAACATTTGAAAGAAAGGTTCCTCGTTCGCCACCTGTTTTTTAACATTCCAAGCGAAGCCCACTGCCTGCACGCGTGCGAGCACTTAACCTCACATTTTTTGGGGCTTTTCTACGATTTTACCTTTGTGCAATGTGCAATGTGCAATAATAATTATTCTTTTGCTGTGATTGTGTAAATTAGTGTGAAAAAAAAAGTAAAAACACTCTCGATTCTTGGTTTTGCTTTGATTGGGGTCAACGACTGGAGAGGCGGTAAGTACAAACATGTTTTTGTACCCATTCAATTATAATATCAAATAAATATAGGGTAATTCAATATGCATCGTTCGCGTAAGCCAGTAAAAGCTCTTTCGGAAAGGCAAAAGAGAAGATTGAGGCAGCAGATTATAAAAGGCCTAAAACATAATTCTGATTCTGCCTTACTATTGCCCTCATCTCGAGCCTCTTCTAGTCAAAATGAGCCGCTTGGTCCTGCCCCAACCCCAATCAGGCCTCCTCCTGAATCTACGTCTGGATTTGACCGTTAGGGTCTAGAAAAGTTTATTCTCGAATTCCCTAGCTGAATTCTGTTCTTGGACTGGCAGGAAAGGAAATTTCGAAGTGGGGAATTTGAAATTGATGCAGCTTAAGTATAGGTATTTGGTAGGAAGTATTTAGCCTTCTGCAAAAATTTATGTGATAAAGTTTTATGGAGTAGAAGTAGATAAAAATAACGTAATAAGCATGAATGTTTATGAAAGACTACCCATTGTCACCCTCTATTAGAAATTATGTACATATATACTAAATATTCTTCGACATATGACAAATATGTATGTATGTCTTAGGTATACATTATTTTCAGCTACCACACACCATATGTTCAAATGCTCCACTAAGGCGTTTGAATCAATTGTAATGGAGTGGCTTCGTCATGCCAAACAGAGATGTTTGAGAGATGAGATCAAAAAATGAATATGTAGTGTATTATGTACGTATATGTACCAACATATTATACCTTATCCAATAAAATTTGAATCAGCAAGCTAATTGTTTTTTTTCTGAGTTAGGATATTTTCAATGAAGTATTTTTTCTCCTAAAAGTTATACCTATTTACGTTTATTGAACCTGCATAAATAATTCATATATGTTTATTGATGAAGAAAATATTCATTTTGATATGTAAAAAATTTATTATTTTTTGTAGAATTGATAATATGTACTTATAATACTATAGGCAGTAGTCTTAATTTATATATATGCTATATGTATCATTCCTTATAAGCTTAAATTTTATTTTTTCATACATATACAGGCTCCTTATAATCTAATATTTTTTTAAAGAAAATCAACAAATCTTATTTATACACATACTCACATTTCAGCCAACCAATCCGCCGTTTAATAGTATATAACACAGAAGCACACATTGTTTTCTTTCATTTTAAAATTACTATCACTATCACTACATAGTATAAAACAAAGTCGCTTTCTCTGTCCCTATATCCCTATGTATGCTTATAGTTATTTATGTATCAAGGGTACTAAGTAGATGATTATGCCCCGAGGGCGACAGTCTTACAAAGCCGAGGGCCTCTGGCCCGAGGGTTCGTAAGTCGCCCGAGGGTATATTATCTATTAGTACCCGTGGTGCATACAAACTTTTATGTCATACCAGTTGGTTGTGAATAATAAATACCTAGGAAAAAGTGTCACTTCGCAAATTGTCATCAGTGTGCAAACATCATAATTTTTTGAGAAAAATAATATGTTTATAAGCGTAATTTTATATTTTGTTAATAAAGAATAAGTTAATTGAAAACTGTTTTTTGCGTCTTTATGCCCGCGCGGGCCATAATGTGTACTTTATGCCCGCGCGGGCCATAATGTGTACTTTATGCCCGCACGGGCATAAAGTAATGAATTATGTAGATGGTATCCAAGGTATAAAAACACAATAATGTATTGGTATGACATAAAATCTTTAAAACTACGCAACGGATTTTGATGCGGTTTTTTTTAATAGATAGAGTGATTGAAGAGGAAGGTTTATATGTATAATAACATCCATTAAATAGTGGAGAAATACTGTTATTTTTGAGGTTTCCAATGTGATGTCGTAAATAATTACATTTCTTCCGCTTACATTGCAAACGCAGGAAGCGATTTTAACCAATACAGGGAAAGGGGAATTGTTTTACTCCAAATTTAACGCGTGCGGGCCACGGGCAGTAATCAATAAATCAAAACTACTGGATCGATTTTAATCATTTTTTCAGTGAGTGACATAGGCTATATATTTTATACCCGTCCAAAGCCGGGGATTTTAAGCACAGTTGGAATTGGAAAAAACGAAGAACATCCCAGTGTCCAATCTGTAATCTCAAACGATCAGTCAGAGAATTCCGTATAGTCTTTCTGAGCAAAAAGGAGAACTTTTCAGGGTATAATGGCCGTTTGCCCAAACACTTTAACGGAGGTTTAGGTTTAACGTTAATCAACGCTTAAAGTGACCTTTTTACAAGTCAAAACTTCACTTTAAACGTTGATTATCGTTAAACCTCCCTTAAAATGGTCGGTGCAAATGGCCACAAGTGATCAAAATTAAGTAAAAGCTGAGGGTGTCATTAGCATATAATGCTTGCAAACGAGATTTCTACACCACTGAGATGAGATATCAGATGAAGATAACAAAAAGTAGGGGATCAAGAAAGGACCCACTCCAGAAATCACAGCTTGAGGTTGTGAGATGCTATCTTCAATTCGTAGCACTTGAGATCTATACCTATAAATAATGGGTGTTCCAATAGGAGTTTACGGATGGTTTTTTTTTTTTTTAATTCAAACGAAAAGCGAACTTGAGAAACATTCAATACTTTATAGCAATAGGTAAAATGATCGTTTACAATTATACGTGAAACCAGGCGCGGCTCGTGAGTTTTTTTACAGGTGGGTCAAATTGAGAGGGACAGCGCCGCAGGCTAAAATAGCGCCTTAGGCGAAAAATTTTTGGTATTAAACTAAATT